ATTTGAATACACTTTATTTCTTTTTCTTGCCTGATTGCTCTGGCTAGGACTTCCAGTACTATATTGAATAGGAGTGGTGAAAGAGGGCATCCTTGTCTAGTGCCAGATTTCAAAGGGAATGCTTCCAGTTTTTGCCCATTCAGTATGATATTGGCTGTTGGTTTGTCATAAATAGCTTTTATTACTTTGAGATACGTTCCATCGATATATTTTAAATATTAAACACTCATAATCTGCAACCTTGAATTTGTTATTCTACTTTCTATCCTTCAGTGTTTCAACTCCAAACAAAAAGGCGTTATTTATTATTTTACTGGTAAAGATTGCAAAAGTCCTTGATTAAGCCTCACTGAAGTGCAAATGTATAATCTTGGTACTTTAAATTGTTGGCTCTCTAATATATCAGATGACTTTTATTTCTCTCAGCAGCTATTCTTGCTGAAGTCCCTGAAGTGAGTAGAAAATGTAAATCATGCTCAAATACCAGAGAATATAAAGCTTTTCTCCCTGTTTATTTTTTTTGCTATACGTCAATGAAAACTTTCTGAAAAGTGATAAAAACCACTTATCAACAAAGCTACTTTAAAGAAAAAGTGTTTTATAGAAACTTACTGGAAATGCACACATTTGCTATGCAACAAACATGATAAAATAACAATTTTCTAAATTCTCAGTAAAATGAATATAAACGTTTGTTTTTATCATATGGAATTGCAACTACCGGGCATAAAGAAAATTACCCTAAAAACAATGTTGAAATCCTGAAACACATACTGAAGAGCATGTCAACTCAGTTAGGAATTTATCCTGTGGAATGGAGAAAAAAGGACACTAACATTAAGATGCCCCCGCTGTTGTGCTTAGATACTGAAAGTTTAATCCTTAGCTGTACACAGCTTCCCAGACGAGGTTTGGTTGCCTCAGTATTTTCTGTGGTTGCATGTAGGGAAGAAAACTCACGATGATGTTTTTTGTTATTAAAATAATACAGAATCCCATAGTTAACATTAACTCTAGGTCACAAGCGATACATTTTTCTTTTCTCTGCTTTCCTTTCCATTCCCAAGAAACACTGGACAGGAAGGAATAAAAGTAGGCTTATTTTAATCCCAGGACTTTCAGAGGCTGACACAGGCAGATTATGAGGTCAAGAGATTGAGACCATCCTGCAACATGGTGAAACCCGTCTCTACTAAAAACAGAAAAACTAGCTGGGCACGGTGGCATGCACCTGTAGTCCCAGCTACTTGGGAGACTGAGGCAGGAGAATTGCTTGAACTTGGGAGGCGGAGGTTGCAGTGAGCTGAGATCGTACCACTGCACTCCAGCCTGGTGCCTGGTGCCTGGTGACAGAGCAAGACTGTCTCAAAAAAAAAAAGTAGGCTTATTTAATATGTTAAGATATATTTGAATGGTTATGTTGTTTTTAAATAAAATATTTTTATATATATGACTAAATTATTTTTGATACATAATTGTTATATTTAGCATTAGGATTTGAGGTTGATTTTAAATGTAAAGACCTGGAGGCGTACTGTGGGCTGGAGTCCCTACTGTCACGCTAGGACTGCTGCACAGGCTCCGGTGCTGGGTCCCCGGAGCCTTGATATTCCTAGCCTGAGCCGAGTAACCCGAGAGCATGTTACTGGCCAAACTGGCCAGTTTAAGCACATTAAGCCATATTAATATTGATGCCTCTCTGCCTTATAAAAGTACTACTGGCTCGATGAAGATGTCTTGAAAGTCAAAGGAAAAGATTTTTAAACATCACTCCTTATTTCGCCTAAATTGTAGAGTTTTTTTCTGTCTTTGCTCTGCAATTTTAAGAAGTCTTTTTTCCAAGTGAAATCTGGAGCTCTGTAAATTAAGGATACTTCATGGAGAAAACGCTTTTAACCACCAGAGTTCATGGAAGTTTAAAGCGCAATTTCTCCTCCCCGTCCTGTGGAGAAGTCTGGCCTTGACGATTCCCCGCGCTGACCTTGCCGCTTCTGTGGCTCCAGGCAGCTCCAGTCCTCTTGGCCCTCTCCTCCTAGGCAGGACCTCTGGCATCCACCCTCCCTGTTAGTCCTTGGGCCATGCACTAAATAAGGGGGTTGGGGACTGGGGCTGGGGGATCAGCTGACCTGAAAAGCCCCGTGTGCCCCTCCCGACACCTCGCTGGCCCCCTGGACTGCCTTCTGCTGTCCTGAGCTGGTCACTTACCCTCTCTGTTCCCAGAAAGCTGTAACTGATTTCCAGCTCCGCAATTGTGGGACCCTAGACTTAGAGACCTGGGACTATGAACAATGCAGAAGTAGAAAGGAAAGGTAGGAGTCATCCACCTGCCTCTGGAGTCTCCGCCCACTTCTTCCCATATCCAGAGCCTCAGCCTGGGACACTCCAGGAGTTCACAGGCCCTTCCTCTCAGCTCCCACCAGCAAACATCAGTTTCACCCCATCCCTCCTCCCCTGGCTCTAACCTGCACCTTGAGGTCCCTGAACACTTCTATACCCTGTGACACTGCATGGCACATGCCAGTGAGGTTTGAGTTACACTGACAGAAGTAACCCAAACCTCACTGGCGTGTGCAACCCACTAAATCACTCAGGACTCCCAGGCCCTGCAAAGAATCCTATCCCTACCAGGTGTCTAGAGAGCTCATAAACAATCCCAGTCCTGGTGAAGGTAGGCTGCCTCCACCACACCAGCCATTTTCAGCCTCACTATTCCATGGCACAAAGTGGAACCCGTTTCACCAGCTGCCTGAATCCATCTACACCCTGCCCGAGCTGCTTGACTTCCACAAGACTCAGACTTGTAGCTGAATGCCTGCCTCAGTTCTTACTCCCAGGACACAGGTATGAGGTTAGTGGGGCTGGGAAAGGAGATAAACCAAACTACTAGGCCCAGCCTCTCTCCTACCCCTGGCACTGCCACAGATTTGTGGCTTACAGGTCAGCCCTTTCCCAGGAGACTCCTTAGTCTTCATGCCCCCCTCACCAGTTCATTAGAGGCATGCAGATGCCGGGTTCTGCACAGCTTTGCCTGTCTAAAATCCAGACCTACTCTGCTTCCACACCTCTTCCACTAAAGCTGAGCCTCTATGCAGCCAGTCCTCCCTCCTGGCTTGACCTGCGTCTCCAGCCAGGAGTCAGCCATTCAAAGACTGTGCCACCTGCACCCGGTTCTTTGTCTTCCTTTCCTCGTCTTTCCCCGTTGAACCATGCTGGAGGCAGCCACAAGTGGGAGAGCTCCACACCCTGAGTTCTGAATCCCAGCTCTGTCATCACCTAGATCTTAACTTCATCTTTCCCACCCACTGTCCTCCACTGTAAATCTAGGACTAATATCTACCTCAGAGAGTACATGGGTTCACTGATGTCAAATGCCTGGAACAACAACCAAGCCCCTGTGTCTTAGCTGCCTTCTCCCAGGTTAAATTAACATCACCTTCCCTCAGTTCTGCCCTCAGACTGCTGAAAACTGGTGGAAGAAATCTTATAATATCTAAGCAACTATTCAGGGACTCATTATTATGTATGAACATAAAAGAAAGGGTCACCATAGATTTGAAGACAGCATCTGATATGGAAGACAGAGATCAAAAGAAACAAAACAAAACAAAACAAAAAGGAACGGAGGCCCCAGAGACAATGCAGATGGATAAAGAGAAAATGCCTTGAAACTGTTAATATCCTCAGAGACACAGGAAATGATACTACTTACATGAAACAGGAAGGGCATATTAGACATAAAGAAAACCCAAGCATAAGGAAAGAGCTTTTGAAAGTTAAAATTATGATAGCAGGAAACAAGTTGATAGAAAAGTTGTAAGACAAGCTTAAGCACAATTTCCAGAAAGCAAACAAAATCATAAAGAAAGAACAATAAGGGAAGAAAGGTAAAAAAAAAAATAAGATAAATTCAGAGGGACTAACATTAACAAAAAAAAATGGTTTCAGAAAGAGAAAATGAAAGAAGAGAAAATTATTGAAGAAATCTTATAAAACTTCCCTGGCTGGGCATGGTCGGTTATGCCTGTAATCCCAGCACTTCAGGAGACTGAGGTGGTTAGATCACTTCAGGCCAGGAGTTTGAGACCAGCCTGGCCAACATGGTGAAACCCCATCTCTACAAAAAATATAAAAATTAGCCAGTCATGGTGGCACAGGCCTGTAATCCCAGCTACTTGGGAGACTGAGGTGGGAGGATCACCTGTGCTTGGGAAGACTGAGGCTGTAATGAGCTGTGATCATGCCACTGCACTCCAGCCTGGTTGACAGAGTGAGAATCTCTCTCTCTCTCTCTCTCTCTCTCTCTCTCTCTCTCTCTCTCTCTCTTTTGAGATGGAGCCTCACTCTGTCACCCAGGCTGGAGTGCAGTGGCGTGATCTTGGCTCACTGCAAGGTCTGCCTCCTGAGTTCAAATGATTCTCCTGCCTCAACCTCCCGAGTAATTGAGACTACAGGCATGTGCCACCTCACCCTGCTAATTTTTGTATTTTTAGTAGAGACAGGGTTTCACCATGTTGGCCAGGCTTGTCTTCAGCTCCTGACCTCAAGTTATCTACCCGCCTCAGCTTCTCAAAGTGCTGGCATTATAGGCATGAGCCACCACACCTGGCAAAGCCCCATCTTAAAAAAAAAAAAAAAAAAAAAAAAAGTTTGAGACCATCTAGGACAACATAATGATATCTCTATAAAAAAATTTTAAAACTAACCAGGTGTGGTGGTGTCTGCCTGTAGTCCCAGCTACTTGGGAGCCTGAGGTTGGAGGATGGCTTGAGCCTGAGAGATCAAAGCTGCAGTAAGCTGTGGATGCACCACTGTACTCCAGCCTGGGTGATAAGAGTGAAACTCTGTATCAATAAGCAAAAAAACAAACTGTAAGAGGAAGTGATTACCAACTCTAAATTATATTCCCTACTAAGCTATTAACCAAGTGTGATGGTAGAATAAAGACATTTGCAGATATGCAGTTCTTCACTAAATTTGATCTCTTGTGTATATTTTTTCAGGTTCTCTACCAAAATGAGGGAATAACCCAAGAAAGAGAAAGATAAAGGATCAAAAAATAGAATATCCACCCAGGAAAGAGGTGTAAGCAAGTCCCAGAGTGACAACTGAGCAGCAGGCCCGAAGAGAACCAGGTGGAATAAGATAACAGAGGGTTCCAGAAGGAACATCTCAGGAAAAGAGGAAATCAGGTATAGGACCTTATAGAAAATAGCTCTCAGGGCTTGCAGATTTACATATATAACAATTTTCTCTGAATATAAGATCAACATACAAAAATCAAGTATATTTCTATAATGAGCAATCCAATGTCAAAAGAAGAAAACGAAAACAATTCTGTGTACAATAACATCAAAAAGAATAAAGTAATTAGGAATACATTTAATAAATGAAGTGCAAAATTTGTACAATGAAAACTACAAACATTGTTGAAAGAAATTAAAGAAGATCTAAACAAATGGAGAGGCATCCCATGTTCATGGATCAGAAGACTTAATATTGTTAAAATGGACATACTCCTCAAATTGATCTACAGATTCAGTGCAATCCCTATCAAACCCCAGCTAGGTTTTTTGCAGAAATTGATGAACTGATTTTAAAATTCATATGGAAATGCAAAGGAACCAGAATAGACAGAACAATCTTTAAAAAGAATAACAAAGACAGAAGACTCACACTTCCTGATTCTAAACCTTCCTACAAAGCTACAGTAATCAAAACTGTGGTAGCGGCATGAGGACAGACTATAGATAAATGGAATAGAATTAAGAGCTCAAAAATAAACCCTTATATTATGGTCAACTGATTTTTACAAGGGTGCCAAAACAATTCAATCAGAAAGAATAGTCTTGTCAGCCACTCATGATGGCTCACACCTGTAATCCCAGAAATTTGGGATGCCTAGACTGGCTGATCACTTGAGGCCAGGAGTTTGAGACCAGCCTGGTCAACATGGCAAAATGCTATCTTTATTAAAAATATAAGAATTAGCTGGGTGTGGTCATGTGTACCTCTACTCCCAGCTACTTGGGTGGCTGAGGCATGAGAATCTCTTGAACTCAGGAGGTAGATGTTGCAGTGAGTGAAGACTGCATTCCAGTCTGAACAACAAAATGAGACTATGTCTCAAAAACAACTCCATGCAAAAGAATGGAGTTGGGGAGTGATTCCTAGGGTGATGACAATATTCTTAAATAGATTCTGGTGATGGCTATGCCACAATATATACTAAAAACCATTGGAATTTTACACGGTAGGGTAATTTTATAGTATACAGTTATATGTCAATAAGGTTGTTTAAAAATTAAAAATAGTTTTCTTAAATTTGGGAAGAATCAATGACAGTTACAAAGAAATCTAAGCAATAAAAATAAAAAAGTTGGTATTGTATGGATTTGAAAATGCATATATTGTTCACATTTTCACATTTCTGATATTGAGATGCATCCTACAAACAAGGGAGCATCACAGTTTAGTTGGGAGTGTTCTTTCTTAGTTTACATAAATAATGGCACATCTTATCATCTTAAATTAGAAGAATTATAGTGATATGTTCAGAAGAAACAAGACGTGCAGGGGGCCAGGCACAGTAGTTCATGCCTGTAATCCCAGCACTTTGAGAGGCCATGGCAGGAAAATTGCTTGAGCTCAGGAATTTGAGATTAGCCTGAGCAACATAGGAAGACCTTATCTCTGAAAAAAAAAAAAAAAAAAAACATTAAAAATTAGGCGGGTGTGGTGGCGCGTGTCTGTAGTCCCAGGTACTCAGGAGACTGAGGTGGGAGGATCTCTTGAGCCTGCGAGGTTGAGGCTGCACTGAACCATGATTGTGCCACTGCACTCCAGCCTGGGCGACAAAGTGAGACCCTGCCGAAAGGAGAGAGAGAGAGGGAGAGGGAGGGAGGGGAGGGAGGGAGGGAGGGAGGGGAAAAAAGAATAAAGAAAAAGGAAAATAAGAAAGAAGAGAAAGAAATAAAAAGAAAAAAATGTACAAGATAGGAAATGTAATTATAATATATTCCACGGCTCCTCAATGCCCAAGACTTATAGCCATAATCAGACAGAAATATATTAATGAAAAAGAGCTTTTTCTGAAAGTTGTGATATTACTACATTGGGAGGGTAAAGGGAGAAAAAATAGAATATGGGGTGGTATGAAAAGTTAATTCTTCATCTTCCATAATGGGGAATAAAAGACAACATCTAAAATCAGTAATTTGAGAAAACAGCAGTATGGGTGCATTATTTAGAAATATAGAAATAACAAGTGACTGAAAGAATTTGAAGGGGAGAATTCAGGGATGAGGAGGAAATTACCGAAATGTTTTCCTGTTATTGCTGCTGATTATGACACAACTTGACTTTAAAAATCGTGTATTGGCCGGGCGTGATGGCTCAAGCCTGTAATCCCAGCACTTTGGGAGGCCGAGGCGGGTGGGTGGCGAGGTCAAGAGATGGAGACCATCCTGGTTAACAAGGTGAAACCCCGTCTCTACTAAAAATACAAAAATTAGCTGGGCATGGTGGCGCGTGCCTGTAATCCCAGCTACTCGGGAGGCTGAGACAGGAGAATTGCCTGAACCCAGGAGGCAGAGGTTGCAGTGAGCCTAGATAGCGCCATTGCACTCCAGCCTGGGTAAGGAGCAAAACTCCGTCTCAGAAAAAAAAAAAAATCATGTATCTGTAGTACTTTGATTTGAATGGAAGGAAAAAAGGAAATGGGGAAGGAGGAAGTGGAGGATCTCCATGGATCCCATCCCTGTGATCAGAAGGGCTGGGGGCAATGCCCCCACCTCAGGTCCAGTGGGAGGGAAAATTGAGTACCCAGGTGGCTGCATTATGCGGAGAGTGAATCCTCAGGTCCACAAGCCTGACAGCAGGGCAGTGGGATGGCAGAGCCTGCTAGGAGAATTTGTTTTCAGATTCTATCCTCCTTCAGAGGCACTGACCTCCCCCACAAAAGGGAGAGGCTCCTAACAGCAGCCAAACCCAAGCCCTCCTGGGGCTGCCTGCTCTGTAGCTTTGCAGCCAGGGATTTTGGCTGGGGTGGGGTTAGCCACAGTCCCGCTGAACCAGAGAAACCAGCCTTCCACTGCACGCGTGGTAAGAAACTGCTGCGGAAGCAGCCGCCAACGCATCCACCCCACCTGGTGGAAGAAGGGAGATCGCAGTGCGAGGCTGTGAGGATTGCTCCAAGAGCTTCTGTACTGGGAAAAAACCACTACGTCGCTTCTTTACTGATACAAGGTGTTCCTCTGTTTCATCTTCTTGTATTCTGTTATCTTAGATTTTTAAAGGTATGAGATTATTTGAAATCCTTATAGATGATGGGAGACCGCAGAGGCTCACGCCTGTAATCCCAGCAATTTGGCAGGTTGAGGCAGGTGGATCAGCAGGTCAGGAGATCTAGCCCATCCTGGCTAACATGGTGAAACCCTGTCTCTACTAAAAATACAAAAAGTTAGCTGGGCGTGGTGGTGGGCACCTGTAATCCCAGCTACTCAAGAGGCCAAGGCAGGAGGATCACTCGAACCCGGAAAGGTGGAGGTTGCAGTGAACCAAGATTGTGCCATTGCACTCCAGCCTGGGTGACAGAGCAAGACTTCATCTCAAAAAAAAAAAAAAAATCCTTATAGATAAATGGAAAGAATGGTTGCTTTCATCAGGAAACAACACCCCCGATCTTGTGGGAGACTGCTCCTCCTTCCCTTTCTGTTCAAGTAGGAGCCACCAGCTTCTACTTCCCTGGTCACAGCACTTGCTTTAGGGGTGGGCAGAAGATCGAGGCTGCACTGATCACCCTGTCCCATTTTCTAGGCCTTAATGGAGGAGGGCACATGGCCCTGATGAATCAATCGCATTCTTGAAGGTTTGCTTTATTTGCCCCCAACTAGCTGTCAGGAAAGCAAGCTAATATATGAACCCATGATTTTCTGATGGCCATGGTCCAGTCTTATGGAGAAATCCAATTCAATAGAAGGAGGTCATCATGCAGGAAGATACAAACACAACCAAAGCAGGAAGTGAGAGGTAGGCCGAGCCCTAGGGTCATGAAGTCCTCAGCTCCAGCTGCCGCAGCTACACCCTCAGCCCTCCTGGTGCACACACATTTCTCTTCTCCTTAGCTATTTGATTTTTCTGTCATTTGCAAGCAAAACAATTCTAAGTAATATACCCCTCTGATTTATATATTTTTTAAGAAAGAAGGGAAATCATTCATAAACTCCAGTACTTTCACTATTTATTTTTCTATTTTTGTTATTTATTTTTGAAACAGCATCTCACTCTGTCGCCCAGGCTGGAGTGTGGTGGCGCGATCATAGCTCACTGCAGCCTCACATTCCCAGGCTCAAGCGATCCTCCTGGTTCAGACTCCTAGTATTACAGGTGCCTGTCACCATGCTGGGCTAATTTTTAAATTTTTAGTGGAGACAAGGTCTCGCTATGTTGCCTGGGCTGGTCTTGAACTCGTAGGCTCAAGCAATCTTCCAGCTTCAATCTCCCAAAGTGCTGGGATTACAGATATGAGCCACCTTTCGCGGTCTTTCCATTGTTATAAAGGAAACAATTAATTATAGTGGCACAGCTCTAAGTGGTAAAACTCACTAGCTGTTGAGAGGTCTTGACAGGAGCTTCCTGAGATTCCTAACAGTTTAAGTCATTGAAGATGATTCACTGAATCACAGATCTTTTCAGAAGGAGGCCATCTTTTCTATACCAGCCATTAGACTTTCTCACCTCTGGGTTCTGTGCCTACCTGGAAGACCCTGGTGTCTGCCTGCAGTGTCAGGCCACACACTCTGGCTCAAAGCAGCTGACACTGAAATAATGACACACCCCAGATCCAAAGGAGATTAGAGATTAAAAATATCTGCCCTCTGGGCACTGCTCAAGAAAGGATCCCTTGAAAGCTGTATGCTTTGATGGAGTATATTTCTCTTCCAACTGATGCATTGGCATCAAAAAGAATAGTTTGGTAATATAAACAATGGACTCCTCTAAAAGTAGCAAAGAATCTTATTGAAGAAGGAAGTTTCAAGGGATAAAAGCAATCTTTTGTTTATAAAGTGAGTTTTCTATCTCTACTTTGCTTTATTCTTTATTATTAAAATTTATTTTTTATTTTTTGAGAAGAGCACTCACTCTGTTGCCCAGGCTGGAGTGCAGTGGCACAATCACAGCTCACTGCAGCCTCGATCTCCCAGAAGTGGCATGCACCACGACGCCTGGTTAATTTTTTGTATTGTTTGTAGAGGCTGGGTTACACCATGTTGCCCAGTCTGGTCTCAAACTCCCAGGCTCAAGCAATTCTCTTGCCTCAGCCTCCCAAAGTGCTGAAATTACAGGCATAAGCCACCACTCCTGACAACCTTTCTTTTTTCTTGGAAAAAGAAAAACAGACAAGTTTCGCTGGGAGAAAAATTTGTTCTTTGTCAGCTGGGGCTGAGTGAAGGAAGCAGGAAGCAGCCTGCATGGTAGCATCTCCAGCCTGGTCAACCTCACTCACCGTCTGTCACTGACACGCACGTGGAGTCAGTGGATGCAAGGAATTTACTGATGCGTAGGAGGGTGTGTAGCATTTCATGTGTCTGTCCAGTGGGCGGTCTTGATGTGGGTTATTGCCTTCTTACTTGTAGATGAGAAATGAGTCCCACCTTGGAAAGCTAGGAAAGGTGTCTGTATGGAGAGCAGATAGCCACATGGCCTGTGTGAGGATGAGAAAGCTGCTCTAAGCAGTCCTTGTACGATCTTCTCTTCCTTGTTCTTTTTTGCTCTCGACATAACTTGCAGAGCTTGGCAGGTGGGAGGGGAGCAGGATGGGGACCTGAGAGGTCTGTCTTTCTTCTAGCTCCTGTTTTAGTCCCTTGCTGTTCTCCAAGGGGAGGGAACATGGATCTTATTGGGTAGACTGGGCCACATTTACCAGTGGATCAGGTCACTGCGTGTTGAAAGGTTATACGCAACACATGTACCTCGCTGACTCCTGCCTAGCCTTCTGTCTCTAGTGTTTCCCCATCGTGAAGCTAAACTGGAAAACTCTGCAGTCTGGCCATCTGGCTCTCTTTCTACTTCCCCTCGCGTATGTATCAGGAGTCTCTTTTTTCTCTGAAGTCTTGGTAGCCGGTGGGAGGTATATTTCAGATTTAGACTTGTTCAGAAGGAGTGGGCCCAGTTAGAACTCTAGGTGAATGTACCAGCCCCATGTTACCAGAGAACCAGGAGAGTCAGGCAGGGTGATGGGCGCCTCGTTACTCATCGCTTGTTCCCATTTGTTACCAGGAGTGTCAGGCAGGGTGATGGGCGCCTCATTACTCATTACTTGTTCCCATTTGTTCATCGGGACCCATAGGGAAGAGGCAAATCTGCTTCTTCTTCCTGCCTATCTGATTCTTCCTATCTACTAGCAGGCTCATCTAAGAGATCCCAAATAGTAACATGAACGAGACAGGCATTGGGAGCCCAGATTCTTTTTTTTTTTTTTTTTTTTTTTGAGACAGGGTTTTGCTCTGTCACCTGGGCTGCAGTGCAGTGGGTTATGGCTCACGGCAGCCTCTACCTTCCAGGCTCAGGCAATTCTCCCATCTCAGCCTCCCAAGCAGCTGGGACTACAAGTGCCTACCACCATGCCCAGACAATTTTTCTAGAAGGGGTTTCGCCATGTTCTCCAGGCTGGTCTCAAATTCCTGGGCTCAAGATCTGCCCATGTTGGCCCCCTAAAGTGCTGGGATTACAGACATGAGCCACCGCCTCAGGCGCCCTTTCACTTGAAGTTGCTTCATCTCTCGGGTGTCACCTTTGTCTTCATGCTCCAAGCTTGCTCACCTTCCCATCTGCATTCCAACTGGCAGGGAGCAAAAATGTGAAATGTACCAGGAACGCGTGGGATGCGCCCATTTATCTAAGGCGGGGATCAGCAACCACAGCCTGCAGGCTGGCTACCATGATTATAAACAGGCTTTAGCGGAACACAGCCACTCTCCTTTGTCTGTGGCTGCTTTCAACTTTAAGGGCTGAGTTGAGTAGTTGCAACAATATGGCCCACAAAACCTGAAATATTTACTATCTGGCCCTTAAGAAAAAGTCAACAGAATCTGCTTCCAAGGCCATGATGGGAGGCTGTCTATTGGATTTCCACTCACACCGCATTGGCCAGACCATGACCACCCCCAGCTCAAGAAGGATGAGAGATGTAGTTGTTTTTTTTTTTGAGACAGACTCTCACTCTGTCACCATGTTGGAGTGCAGTGGCATGATCTCGGCTCACTGCAACCTCCATCTCCTGGGTTTAAGCGATTCTCCTGCCTCAGCCTCCTGAGTAGCTGAGACTACAGGCCCGTGCCACCACATCCAGCTAATTTTTGTATTTTTGGTAGAGATGGGTTTTGCTATGTTCGCCAAGATAATCTTGATCTCTTGACCTCATGATCCGCCTGCCTCAGCCTACCAAAGTGCTGGGATTACAGGCATGAGCCACCATACCTGGCCTTTTTTTTTTTTTCTTTTGAGACAGAGTCACTCTCGTCACCCAGGCTAGAATGCAGTGGTGCTATCAGCTCACTGCAGTCTCAATCCCCTGGGCTTAAGTGATCCCCCCACCTCAGCCTCCTAAGTAGCTGGGACTACATGCACACACCACCATGCCCAGCTCATTTTTTATTTTTTATAGAAACAGGGTCTCACTATGCTGGTCTTAAACCCCTCCTACCTCAGCCTCCCCAAATGTTGGGATTACAGGCATGAGCCACAGTGCCTGGCTGAGGCAGAAGAATTGCTTGAACCTAGGAGGCGGAGATTGTGGTGAGCCGAGATCGCACCATTGCACTCCAGCCTGGGTAACAAGAGCGAAACTCTGTCTCAAAAAAAAAAAAAGATGGGGGGAGACTGGCAACTGGAAGACAGCCAACTGTCTTTCTACATGGGTCCCCCGGCCTGATGGTGGTGCCTGATATGTTCACATTTTGAGTTTATGAATGAGATCCTTGCTATTCACTCATAGCCACATTGATTTCTGTCGTTACCTCTGCCTTTCCTTCCCCATTAGGATATTTTGCCCGGCAGAGACAGGTTTCAATTCAAGCGCTGCCTTTCCTTGCAGAGTCTCTTTCCTAAATGCCTTCATACGCAAGTGTGGGATAAGCGCCTGGCCCTGCTGCCTCCCGTCCCTGCCAGGGACAAAGTCTCTGTTGGCAAATTGCTCCCACGCTACCGTTCCATATCTTTGTCAGAACTTCATCCAAAGCAACAATTTCTCTCTCTCAAGAAGTGGAAAGCAACCTCCAGGCACGGTGGGAACTTGTTGGACCCCTTGATGGTGGGCAAGTAGGATGCCCCCATAGATGAGGTCCTTCCCGCCCCATTGCTGCTGTGTCCTAGAGATAATGCCTTTATGATCCAGGCCAGGACTTTCTCTCATTCTCTCCTAAATGACAGCTGCTCCTCATTACAAGTGTTACATGTAAGCCCCCGGATTTGAGGATTCTGAAGCAGGCATGTGGCTTCTTAACATACTTCCTAAGGCTAGGCATGGTGGCTCAAACCTGTAATCCAAGCATTTTGGGAAGCAGAGATGGGTAGATCACTTGAGGCCAGGAGTTAAAGACCGGCCTGGGCAACATAGACTCCCTGCCATCTCTATAAAAAGTAGCCAGGCATGGTGGCATGCGCCTGTAGTCTCAGCTACTTGGGAGGCTGAGGTGGGAGGATCCCTTGAGCACAGGAAATCAAGGCTGCAGTGAGCCAGGATTGCACTACTGCACAGCGGCCTGGGCAACAGAGATCCCATCGCAAACAAAACAAAACAACACAGCAAAGCACCCTTCCTAATAAGTCTGCCTGTTTCGAATATCCTCCTAAGGCCATAGCCAATCTTTAGTCTCATGGCAGCATCTTGGTTACACCCATGAGATCATAGTTACCGTGCTGTGTTCTGGCTTCATCTTAGACTTGCTCATGACCCACCCACTGTCTGCATACAAATGCAGGAAAACTTAGAATCAGATCTGGAGCACATTTTGAAACCTTGCTATGCGTTATGCGAGAAACAACTGAAGGAACTAAGGGTGCCTGCCTCAGAGAAGAGAAGCCTAGATGGGCCCCATCTTCAAACGGTTGAAGGACTGTCACATGGAAAGGGGATTAAAACATTTCTATAAGGTTTAAGATTTGACTTTTTAAAACTAATGAGCAAGTATTACTTTGGTAAGTAGGAAAAAGGACAACAAAGAGATACATACGAGATGAGACCCACTCACAGTGGCCCAGAATGGCAAAACTGGGGTTGATCAAAGCAAAACACTTTTTGATGCAAAATCAAAAAAGAACCTTCTCAGAAGTGGAGCTCTCCAGTATGAAGTGAGTAGCACTGAGAGGTGTGAGGTGCTTCTCCTGATGAGATTTAAGCAAATGATGAATGACCACTTGCTATCAAGCAGAACAGAGGGTTAACAAAGTGACTGTCCTCGGTGATGTCCTTCTCATTACAAAAAGGAACTTTCTCGATCGGCTTAGGTTAGAGGGGGATTTCTGGAATGAATTTGGCTCTCACAGAATCCAAGGAAAAGCTGAACAACTGGGCTGCAGGAAGGGAGGGAATGAGATCAGCTCCAAGCCATAGCCCCACCGTGGTGACTCAGTTCCCAGCTCTGTTTCTGGGTTTTATAATTCATATTCTTTCCCGAGAATCTGAAAGGTCATTGGCAAGAATACAGATTTGGCCTGCCCTGAGTCAGGCGTTCCATCCTGGTTCAATAGCAAATCACTCATGGGAATGGAGTCTCATGATTCAAACATAAAGACACAGTGACAGAGGCCATCCATGCAGTGGGTGTACACACTCTCCGAAAAGCTTGGTGGGGAGGTAGACACCCTTGAAATAATGTTTAAGGTCCTGTCCAACCTCAGGGCTCACTGATCCCAAGTCAAAAGTAATTTCAAGCAGATGATATTCTTCATGTGGTTGCAAAGAGGTCAGGATTAATTAACATTCAGCTGAAGTCATGAGTTTGAATTAAAGTGAGGGGGTAGCAGAGGTGAGAGCATGGCCATGGGAAGAAAGGGGCAGAAGGGGGTTCAATGTAGCCCACTGGTCAACTCACAGACCTTGGCAGTGTGCCTACCGGGGCATGCATTGTCTAGGGCAGAGCTACCCATGGGCTGGATTACAAGTTACACAGCATCTGTGTCCACATAGTTTTTTTCCCCCATGCCATTTACAAAATAAACTTAAAATTTTCAATAGTTTAGACTTAAAAACCAATGCCCCAATACCACAAAGCTCTCATATACCCCACACCCATTGTCCCCTCTTGTTAACAGCTTACACTACTATGTGCTATGTACTGAATGTCCATGTCTCCTCAAAATTCAGATGCTGAATCCTAGCCCCCAAGGTGAAGATATTAGGAGGTAGGGCCCTTGGGAAGAGATAAGGTCATGAGGGTGGAGCCCACCTGAATGGGATTAGTGTCCTTGGGCCAGAAGCCCCAGGGAGCTCATTGGCCTCTACTGCGATGTGAGGACCCAGGGAGAAGGGCCACCTAGGAGAAACAGGCTCTCAGCAGGCACCACATCTTCTAGCACCTTGATTTTGGACTTCCCAGCCTCAAGAGCTGTGAGAAATACATTCCTTTTGTTTATCAGCTATCCTATTTATGGTATTTGGTTCTCATCCAAAACTGACTAAGACACAAGGGTACACTGTGAGCCCTATATTCAAGGGGCCTGCAGTCTTCTAGGGAAGGCCACTGGCCACAAGATGAGTGTGCAGGGAGTCCAGAGAAGGAGGCCAAGGGCAGTCCTTGGGCTGTTCCATGACCCAGCTGGTGGAGCTGAGCCAACAGACGGGCAGGGAAGGGGCAGAGGGCCGATCCCAGGAGAGGACTATACAGTCCACAGCATCAGGGCACTCTGCCCACAGTCCAAGGGCAGCTGGAGCAGGTGGCAGGGACTGAAGGAGGGCTGCAGAGAGAAGGTGAGAGCCTAGCTGGAGCTACGGGAGGCTGGCCAAGCCTCCACTCTGCAGAGCTAAGGGAAGGACACAGGCCCTGAGGATGGGGACCCAGGTCACCCTGTGGGGGATCACAGGGAGCAAGGCTGCTGCCCACTGGAACCAAAATCTGTGGCAGAACAGAAGCAAGACCTGGCTCTCTGGGGCTGAGCTGAAAAACTGCTGCCCAGGGCTACATCCTCCCGCTGCCCTAGGCCAAGGCCAGCCCAAACTGGGAAGGAAGCTGAACCTGGCAGGTAGGGGTGAGGGTGCAGGGGCCCAGCAGCCACAGGGCAGGGGGCATTGCAGGTCCTAGAAGCCAAAGCTGCAGAGGGAAATGAGAATTGAGATGGGAGCAGGACAGGCAGCAGGGAGATGGAGAGGGCATGCTGGTGATAGGAACTCCAGAAACACAGGCAGGGGAGGGACGTCAGTAGTGGCACAGAGGGCTTGGGGTGGGGAGGAAAGGCCAGGAAGGAGGTGAGGGCGGGCCACACAACAGGGTTCTCTGAACACCAGCAGCCCAACAGAGAGACTCCAGATCACAGTTTGTGTTATGAGGACTTCAGCTCTGACCTAAAAATATCGAGGATGCATGAGGTCGGGCTCCCCTCAGATGGGCCCAGGACACCCCTATACCACCCAGAACTAGGTGGCGTGGCTCCAATCCTGCCTCTGCCTCTTCCCCGCTGTGTCCCTTTAGGCACATGACTTAACCTGTCTGCGCCTCTGATTCCTCAGCTAGTGATATTTAACACGTACTTCAAGGAGTTGGAAGGATTGAGTTAAAATATAGAAGGCTCTGAGAACAGTGCCTGGCACATAGTGCCACATAAGCATATGCTAATATTACAGCTATGTAGAGTAAAGCAGTTTGAGCATTAGCCAATATTTCCCAAGTTGTATTCCGTGAAATCGTCAACTGAGATACTTCCATCAAAAAGCTTCTTATGGGCCAGGTACGGTGAATGACGTTTGTAATCCCAACACTTTGGGAAGCCAAGGTGGGCAGACCACTTCAGTCAGCCCTGGGCAACATAGCAAGATCTCGTCTCTACCAAAAAGCAAAACAAAACAAAACATAAAAATTGGCTGGACATGGTGGCACGTGCCTGCAGTCCTTGCTACTTAGGAGGCTGAGATGGGAGGATCGCTTGAGCCTGAGAGGTTGAGGCTGCAGTGAGCCATGATCACCCCACCATACTCCAGCCTGAGTGACAGAGTGAGATTGTGTCTTTAAAAAAAGGTTCTTTGCTCCTAAGTTCAGCGGAATAAAAATAAATAAATAATAATTTAAAAAAAGGTTCTTACGGTTAAATAATTTGGAAAAAGCCTCATATCCACGCCAAGCACTGACAAGTCCACAGTTAAAAAACATAAAATAAACAAAAAGTTCAAATAGCTTACTCTAAGTTTATTTGACCCAGTGTTTCCAAATCTAGTGGATCACAGAACCCTCTGAATGCCTCTCGGGAGTGTACCATGGGACCTCAGTTTGGGAAGCTGGGAAGGGAGTCTCTGAAAGCAGAGAAAGGGGCGACACCACCTGGCAGGGGAAGCCACAGAGAGATCCTGGTGCCCAGGTGGGGAGGGGAGGAGGCTTTGGTGTGCGCCCACAACAGAAAGGAAGGGGTATGTGAGGGACCCCAGGAGAGCGGGGGAGAGAGGACCAGGGTGCCGCTCAGATGTGGAGGGGAAGGGGGAGAAGGCAGAGGTAACCCTGAGAATTCGCACTGGGGGAGGTAGAAAAGGGGGGAGGAGGAAGGAGGTGCAGTAGGACATGTCCTTCCTGATGTCCCCACTCACTCTCTGCATCCTCACTCCATGACCCCTTCCCAGTTGTGGGATTGAGCAAGGGCTGAGTCTCAAGGCTTCCCTGAGGAGGGCCCTGGGAAAGGGAAGGTCAGAAGCACAAACAGGTTCTGTCCTCACTAGGCACAGATCGTGTGGTTGTAAAACCGGCAGCAGTTCTGCAGGGCCTCTGGGCTGAACTCTGGGTTGATGCTAAAAAAAAAAAGCAAAGACTGCAGTGTGAGCTCCAGGCTGGCTCTGCTGGCCACGGCCAGGCTGTGCAACGATGGGAACATTGCTTCAAGTCTCCGGTCCACTCTTCCTCCACTGGTCCTCAAGCCTTCACTTCCCCATCAGCTGTAGCCATAACATTTTTACCTTCACCCTGGTACCAAAGGCACCCCCCCCCCACCAGCACTCAGGCATTCTGTGCCATCGCTGGGGGTCCCCTGCAGGCCCCATAGCTCACACCCTTACCTCTGGAAGGCATCGCGGCAGCACTGATATACCTCAAAACTACTGCTGCTGAGGGTCATGTTCAGGAGGGACATGCAGTTGACTTCAGCCCCCCTGGGCACGTAGAGGATGCCTGTGGTGGGAAAGCGGTGGGTGGGCAGGGCCTCTGGGCTAACCAGAAAATCAGGGTTCCACATTCTGAGCCTGCCAGGCCTGCACTCACCTGCCATGCAGGCATTCACCAGGGACACACAGGCCCCCGTGAAGAGCGCCCGGAGCACAATCTGGGAGAAGTCGCTCTTCCGTTGGGGGACCATGGAGGCTGCAAGGGGACAGAAGTCCTCAGGGCCAGGGAAGCTGTGCCCCTCTCTGTCCACATCTCTAGCTCCAGCTACATCTGCTAACCTCCCTTCCTCTTCTATTAATACACGGCCAGAGAGACAGATGCTATCCTCCGGGCCACTGGCTGAGCCCAGAAGCCCTCTTCAGCCTGGCCTGGAGGCAATGCCCACAACTCCCCACACACCATCCATGGCAGATGCAGGAAAAGAATTTGAGTTTGGAGCCAGGCAGACCTGGGATGAAATGCAGGCTCAGCCACTCGCTAGCCAAGGGACCTGAACCACACTTCACTTCTCCAAGACTCAGTTTCCTTCTTTGTAAAGTGGGGTGATTTCACCACCAGGCAGGGTTGCAGCTGGGAGTAGAAATGTTATTTGTAAAGAACTGAGAACTGTGCAGACTCTTTGACCCTAGGCCCCACCAGGCCTGGCTGCCCCACCAGGCCAGGCCTTGGGGACAGGCCAGCACCATACCTCCCACCCTTAAGCCAGGCTAGGCCTTCAAGGCCCGGGTGCTGACCTCCTGGGCCACCACTCGCAGCAGAGAATCGGAATTCTAGGGCTAAAAGGAAACTCTCACTCTGTCGCCCAGGCTGGAATATAGTGGTGTGATCTTGGCTCACTGCAACCTCTGTCTCGTGGGTTCAAGCATCTTCGTGTCTCAGCCTCCCCAGTAGCTGGATCACAGGTGTGCACAACCACACCCAGCTAATTTTTGTATTTTTAGTAGAGATGGAGTTTTGCCATGTTGGCCAGGCTGGTCTTGAGTGACCCACCCGCCTCAGCCTCCCAGAGTGCGGGGATTACAGGCACAAGCCACCACGCCCGGCCTCTATGGCCATCTTGCTTGGGCCCTGCTTTAGAAAAATGAGACAACTGAGGCCTACATATCGCCAGCAAGTTCAAGTCTCTGGCTCTCCTAGACACTGGTGAGGCCCCCATTAGACTCACTCAAGCCTCCCAGCATGATCCCAATGGAGCTGAAATTGGCAAATCCACAGAGGGCAAATGTCGTCAGGACTTCAGCTCTAACCTGAAAATACAAAAGATGCATGAGGAGGGGCTCCCCTCAGATGGGCCTGGGGTGGCCCTATAACACCCAGGACCCCGGCCTTAATTTTACCCACTTCTTACCTGTAATTGATCTTCAAGCCCTCTGCGCTGCCCCTTCCCCAGCCTTGCAATCCCACCTCTATGTCAGCTCAAACTGCACCACATCAAAAACACAGCCCTGATCTCTCATCTGTCCTTCAACCTTTTAATCTTCATTACCAGCCTTTCTAGATGGGATTCAGCTTTTCTTAGTCCTCTCGCTTTGGCCCTACTAAGCTGTGTCCTGGGGCGACTGGGTGGACAGCCCCTTCCCTGACACAGCACTCCTGTGACTGCTCTCAGGCTGAGAGAGGGAGTGTGGCCTACAGGAAAGAGTAAGGGATTTGGAGCACAGCCAGCCAGCCTGGCTTTCAGGACTGGCTCACCGAGATCAGCTCGAGCAAGTCAATCGCTTCTCTCAGTGTCAGTTTCCCTGCCTAGAATGGGGGAATAATAGTACCTGCCTGGGAGAGCTGTCAGAAGGGTTATGTAAGGTACAGGAAACACCAGGCAGAGAGCAGGTGTTTAAACATGGTAGTTATTCCCTTTTGTTCTTAACAACTGTCCTAATTCCTTGAAAGAAGTTTTAAGGGCCAAAATGAAATAATTTAAAAACAAAACTGATTTATGGGTGCAAAAAAAGTTCGAATGAATAAATTAGAGCTAATATTTGATAGCACAACAAGGTGACTACAGTTAACAATGACTTAATTGTACATTTAAAAATAATGGTATAATTGGATTGTTTATAAAATAAAAGATAAATGCTTGAGGGGATGAATACCCCATTCTCCATGATGTCATTATTCACACATGGCATGCTGGTATCAAAACATCTCATGTACCTCATAAATATATACACCTACTATGTATCCACAGAAATTAAAAACTTAAAATTTAAAAAAAATGGTGGCTGGGCGCGGTGGCTCACGCCTATAATCCCAGCACTTCAAGAGGCAAAGGCGGGTGGATCACGAGGTCAAGAGATCGAGACCATCCTGGTCAACAAGGTGAAACCCCATCTCTACTAAAAATACAAAAATTAGCTGGGCATGGTGGTGCGTGCCTATAGTCCCAGCTACTCGGGAGGCTGAGGCGGGAGAAATGCTTGAACCCAGGAGGCAGAGGTTGTGGTGAGCCAAGATTGCACCACTGCATTCCAGCCTGGGTAACAAGAGTGAAACTCCATCTCAAAAAAAAAAAAGGTATAGAGCCTCCCCTCACACTATATAAAAATTAATTCTAGATAAATATTAACATTTTAAGCATGAAATGACAGAAAATATAGGATAATAAATATAGTTACAAGGTAGTATTATTACTCTTATTTTGGAGAGGAGCAAACCGAGGCTCAGAGAAGTTAAGTAACTAAGGAAGTTCACACAGCAAGAAGGTAGTTGTACCAGAATTTGAATTCAGTTCTGACTGCAAAGCTTATGGTCTGAATTATCTCATCACATTATTTCAGGAATTTAGCACTTTCCAGAAAACATTGTTTTTCTTTCTTTCTTTCTTTGGGAAAACTTCCGCCTCCTGGGTTCAAACGATTCTCATGCTTCAGCCTCCCAAGTAGCTGGGATTACAGGTGTGTGTTACCACACTGGCTAAGTTTTGTATTTCTTGTTTCACCAAACATGGTTTCTCCATGTTGGCCAGGCTAGTCTCAAACTCCTGGCATCAAGTGACCCAACCTCCTTGGCCTCCCAAAGTGCTGGAATTATAGGCATGAGCCACTGTGCCTAGCTGCATTTTCCAGATAACTTTCTAAGTTTAGAAATAATAGAAGAAATCACAAAAGAAAAGATTTGTCATAAAATCTGTGTTAAAAACAAAAAACAAATCCTGAATGCCAGGTCAAGTGAGAGCTGACAGACACTGGGTGACCCTGTGCCTCGCTGAGGAAAAATAACTAAACATGGGCAGCGGAGACTCTGAGAAGCCAAGAGGCAAAATGTCATCGTATGCACTCCCTGTCCAAGCTTGTCGAGAGTGGCACAAGGAGAAGCACCCAGATGCTTCAGGCAACTCCTCAGAGCTTTCTAAGAGAGAGAGGCAGAAAACCACATCAGCTAAAGATAAAGGAAAATTTGAAGATGTAGTAAAGGCGGACAAGCCTGGCTAGGAAAGGGAAATGAAAACTTACAACCTTCCTATAGGGAAGACAAAAAAGAAATTCCAGCATCCCAACACATCCAAGAGGCCTCCTTTGGCCTCTTCCTGTTCTATTCCAAGCATTACCCAAAACTGAAAGAACATCCCAACCTATCCGTTGGTGATGTAGCAAAGAAAGAAGGAGACATGAGGTTTATAACCACTGAGGAGGACAAGCAGCCTTAGGAAAAGACACCCGCAAAGCTCAACGAAAAATACAAAAAGATACAAAATTGCTGCATACCGAGCTAAAGGAAAGCCTGGTGCAGCAAGAAAAGGGAGCTCTCAAGGTCAAACAAGCAAGAAAATGAAAGAATGGGAGAAACTGAGGAAGAGGAAGAGGATGAGGAGAAAGGAAAGATGAAAACAAAGATGATGAATAAACTGGTTCTAGCCTTTTTTTCCCTCATATATAATATATTTAACCATCACCATCCCACCCCCACCAATACTCAATGCATTCCTTTCAAAGAGATAAATTAAAACATAAGGCCATGTGAGATTTTTTTTTAAACCGTGCAGCATCTTTTTTTTTTTCATATAGTTAACATACTACCCAATGTGTCTTTAGATAACCCCGTGTCCTGGTAATATTTTCAATAGCCACCAACCTTGCCTGGTGCATTATGGGGGTTGTAAATTGCCATGGAAATTTAAAGCATGCTCTTGTTGGCTGGCGCACAGCACAAATTAGTTGTGTATGTGCATGGTGGTGCCTTCATATTTAGTTGTCTCTAATGCAGCTTATACAAATAATTGCTGATATAATGAACTGAATACCACTTGGGCCAGGCGTGGTGGCTCACGCCTATAATCCCAGCACTTTGGGAGGCCAAGGCAGAAGGATTGCTTGAGGTCAGGAGTTTGAGACAAACTTGGGCAACATGGCAAGACCCCATCTCTACAAAAAATACAAAAGTTAGCCAGGCGTGGTGGTGCACATCTGTAATCCCAGTTACACAGGAGCTGAGGTAGGAGGATCGCTTGAACCCGGGAGGTGGAGGCTACAGTGAGCTGTGATTGTACCACTGTACTCCAGCCTGGGTGACAGAGTGAGACCCTGTCTCCAAAAATACATACATACATACATACATACATACATACATACCACTCTGTAATTTTTTTAAAAGTTACAGCTGTTTTGTCAACATTCTGAATGCTTCTAAGTAAATAGAATTTTTAAATTAAAACAACAACAACAAAGTCCTGTGCTTCTTGTACACATACACTAAAACTTCAATGATGCAAAGACGATGAGCATGGCCACTGCCCAAGGGTGACATGCAAATTCATGAAATGTTCTACACTAAAAACCAAAAACTACATTTCCCTGTACAACACAAAGGGCAAAAAAGGAAAAGTTATGTAGAAAGTATAACAGAAAAAAGTTAATGTCTTTATAACATGAGTTGATACAAATATTATTGGAAAAAATATGTATCTCTGCTTGCCCCCCTATAGCTTTGTTCCACAGAGCAGCCCCACCCTCCCTTTTTTCCCTCCTTTCCTTCCTCCCTTTTCTTCCCTCCTTCCCTCCCTCCCTTCCCCCTTTCCCTTCCCTTTCTTTCCTTTCCCTCCCCTCTCCTCCCCTCCCCTCCCCTTCCCTTTCCACCTTACCTTCCCTCTTCCCTCTCTCTCTTTTACTGAGACAAGGTCTCACTCTGTCACCCAGGCTGGGGTACAGTGGCAAAATCACAGCTCACTGTAGCCCCAGTCTCCTGGGTGCAAGTGATCCTCCTGCCTCAGCATCCCAAGTAGCTGAGACCACAAGCGTGCACCACTATACTTGGCTAATTTTAAAATTTTTTGTAGAGATGGGGTCTTGCTTTGTTTTCAGGACTGATTTTGAACTCCGGGTCTCAAGTGATCCTCCTTCCTTGGCCTCCCAAAGTGCTGGGATTACAGGTGTGAGCCACCATGCCTGGCCACTAGTCATTTTAAAATTCAAAATGTCAAATCTTCAGTGATTTCTGACTGCTCCTTGGCCTGTGATTACCACCTGCTCTAGCTGTACTGATTGCTCTGTTCTCTAAGCATACCAAGTGCTCAACCTCAGGGCCTTTGCATGTGCCTCTTCCTTTGGAATGCTTTTCCCAGCTTGTCCTAGCTCGTCCCTTCTCCAAGTCTTGGCTTAAATGCCACACCTCAGGGAGATCTTTTCTGACCAGTCCAGCCAAGGAAGACCCTGCCTTGTTTTTTCCTTCAAATAACTCACCACAAATTGTAGTTATTTTAATTTTTGTTCTTTTGCTTTCTTATGTTTGCCTGTGTCTCTCACTAGATGCCGGCTCCTAGAGACCAGGGCCATGTCTGTCTAATTCTCCTTGTTATCCCCAATGCCTAGCAGGAGGCCTGCCACCTAAGTGGTCCCAACAAATACTTGCTGAAGGAGTGAAGTTCATAAAAAAGATCATGAAGTGCTTCAGCAGCACACACACTAAAATCAGAATGATACAGAGGAATGTAGCAGGACCCCTGTGCAGAATAATGTGTGAATTCCTGAAGCGTGCCTATATCAGAACACCTCACGTACCACATAAACATATGCACCTACTAGGTACCCATGAAAATTAAAAATAAATAAATAAATAAAAGAACAGGAAGGGGTGTGTCCTCTATTAGCCTCTGAGGACGGGTGAGACCAGAGGTGAGAGAAAACAGGGAGGGGAAACTTGAGCTTTTTTACTCTATACAAATCTTTTCTTTTTTTTTTTTTTTTTTTTTTTTTGTGATGGAGTTTCACTCTTGTTGCCCAGGCTGGAGTCCAATGAAGCAATCTCAGTTCACTGCAACCTCCACCTCCCAGGTTCAAGAGATTCTCCTGCCTCGCCTCCTGAGTAGCAGAGATTACAGGCACCTGCCCCCAAGCCTGGCTAATTTTTGCATTTTTACTAGAGACGGGGTTTCACCATGTTGGCCAGGCTGGTCTCGAACTTTTGACTTCAGGTGATCTGCCTGCTTTGGCCTCCAAAAGTGCTGGGATTACAGGTGTGAGTCACTGCGCCTGGTCTTTTTGTTTGTTTGTTTTGTTTTGTTTTGTTTGTCTTTGAGACACTCTTGCTCTGTTGCCCAAGCTAGAGTGCAGTGGCACAGTCTCGGCTCACTGCAACTTCCACCTCCCAAGTTCAAGCGATTCTTGTGCCTCCGCATCAGGAGTAGCTGGGACTACAGGCGTGTTCCACCACACAGGCAGAAAAAAATAAAAATATTTGTATTTTTAGTAGAGGAGGGTTTTTGCCGTGTTGGTCAGGCTGGTCTCAAACTCCTGACTTCAAGTGATCTGCCTTCCTCAGCCTCCCAAAGTACTGAGAATACAGGCGTGAGCCAGGGTGCATGGCCAGAAACTTTCATTTTTAAAAAACCTAAAGAGTCTATTCCTTTACAATTTAAAAAGGAATTTAAAAGACAAGAAAAAGAACTTCCTGTTGAAAGTTTTCAGTCACCCAAGTAGGGCAAACAATGAGCCATTACTTGCTCATTAAAGTAGGGAGCCTTGTTTTGAAGAAGCTACTCCAGGCGGTTTAGCTGTGTGGCGGAATAAATGCTCACAGGCACAGCTGGTGCTGGTGACTTCAGCTGCTGTAGCCACATGAAGACGCGTGTGGGATTCAGTCAGCCCACACCTGGGAAAGCGGCAGAAACACTCTGAGAGAAAGGAAGGGCTATACGCACAAAGAGACTCATTTCAACATGCGAATAAAAACCTAATAACAGAATTGTGTGAGTGGCCTAACAGCAGGGGATTGGGTAAGTATGTTAGGACACGTATATAAAAAATGAGGCTTATGTTATAATATTAAGTAAAAACACAACTGGCTACAGCACAGTATGGCTGCCACAGCAGCAACTATGTTAGCTCTCTCTTTTCCTCTTTTTTTTTTTTTTTTAAAGATAGGGTCTTGCTCTGTTGCCCGGGCTGAAGGGCAGTGATACAATCCTAGCTCACAACAACCTCAAACTCCTGCGATCAAGCCGTCTTCCTGCCTCAGCCTCCCAAGTAGCTGGGACTACAGGCATGCACCACTGCACCTTGAAAAAAAATTTTTTTTTTTTTGAGACAGTTTCACTCTGTTGTCCAGGCTGGAGTGCGGTGGCATGACCTTGGCTCACTGTAAGCTCCGCCTTCTGATTTCAAGTGATTCTCCTGCCTCAGCCTCCCAAGTTGCTGGGATTACAGGTGTCCGCCACCACGCCTGGATAATTTTTGTATTTTTAGTAGAGATGGGTTTCATCATGTTGACCAGGCTGGTCTTGAACTCCTGATCTCATGATCTGCCCACTTTGGCCTCCTAAAGTGCTGGGATTATGGATGTGAGCCACTACACCTGGCCTGCACCTCACAATTTTTAAAATTTTGAGTAAAGACAGGGTCTCACTATGTTGCCCAGGCTAGTCTTGAACTCCTGGCCTCAAGTGATCTTTCCACCTTGACCTCCCAAAGTGCTGGGAATACAGGCATGGGACACTGTGCCTGGCCTAAACTCTCTCTTAAAAAGAATGGAAGAAAATGTAAGAAACAACAATAATTATTATTTGGGATGGTGAGATTATAGGTAATTTTTTCATTCTCAATAATGTTATTATTCTTTTAGAATGGTTAATCTTATAGATCTTTTATAGAATTTAAAAGTAAATTTTGACAGAAAGGACCAATCCCTGTGCTGAATCCACTATATTAACAGTGAAGGTGATGGCCACGTGTGGCGGCTGACATCTGTAATCTATAATAAGAGGAAAATAAGAGGAAAGGTGCTGTGGCTGGCTCAAGGCCGCAGTGAAAGACGACCCATCTAGACCTGGGTTTCAGACATCCCTCAGTGCTCTCTCCCCACGCCTCAGCCTCCTAAGAGGCCTCAAGAAAGACAGCAGCGAAGCCTGAAGCCATCCTGTCTCCTGGGACTGTAGGATGCAGGTGGTGAATCACCAATCCAGTCAGGCCCAGGAAGCAGGAGAGCAGCCGCCAGGGGCCCTCAGGAGCCGCTGTGCCATGTCATCCCCTGCCGCAGGGACGGGACTGGGCCACTCACGGAGATCCACTGTTTCCTGGCGCCGACCCACTCCTCGACTCCTGCCAGGCGGCGTTGCTTGTACTTGGAGAGTTCTTGATAGGCCACAAACTCGTTCAGAAACAGCTTGATCCCCAGCAGCTCAGCTACCACTGGGCAGTCCTCCCAGGCCACACCCATCAAGAAGGCTACAGGCCGCAGGATGTAGGAGCAGATGAGCTGAGGGGACAAGGGTGTGGCTGGCACTGAGGGCTGGGCCTAGACTCTGCTGGGCCTCCAGCCACCTCACACCACCCACCTGGGGCCAACCTCTCTACAGACCGAGCATGGTGACCAGAAACACACCTGGAAGCTGAGCCCCTGGATGTCCACCATGTCTCCCAGCCAGAAGAGGGCAGCATTGATGAAGGCCAGCACAGCCAGGAACGCAATCAGGTTGGCAGCGATGTTGGCAACCACCTTCACAGAGATGGCGGCCCCAGTGCTGGCTGCTTCTATGAGGTTCTGAGCATCTCTGTCGTTGGGATCGAGAACAATCATTACTGGCCTGTCTCCACAACCAGCAAGGGTCCCTATCTTACAGGCACAAATAGGAACCCTGGAAGAGCACTTCAGAGCAGGAATTCCTCATTTTTCCTGAGACCCAGAGAGAAGAAGGGGCTGGCCAAAGCACTGGGACAAGGTCCAGATTTCTAGCACCAAACTGTCCAAGATGGAAGCCATTAGCCACATGCGACAGGAGGCTGTCTGAATTGAATTTCTTGTAAGTGCAAAATATAGACCAGATTTTGAGGATTTAGTACCGAAAAATGCAAAATATCTCAATAATTCTTATACTGGTTACATGTTGAAATGACAATACTTTGGGGTATACAGGGTTAAGGAAAATGGGTTATTAAAATCACCCATTTCTTTTGACTTTTTAAAGGACAACTACTAGAAAATGACAGGCGTGGCTCACATTACACTTCCACGGGACAGCGCTGCTCAGTGCTTCAGAAGGTTGTGAAGTTGGGGTGTGCCCAAGCATGTGTCCGACGTGGTGCCTTTGCAACACTGTTTAAGGTTTAAATGTTGCCTAACAGTTATTAAGACTTATGAGAGGATATTAGGAGGTGAGTAAAATCAAAGATGGCACTCAGCATGTCCATGGGTGGTTGATACCCTGCGTGGTCAGAGATGGCATGGGACCTTTTGATGACCCCCCTCAACATGCACACACGACAGGCCACAGTGCCAAGAACCAGGCCATACTGTCAAGCCTCGCCTGGTCCATTGTTTCCTGCTGGCCAGAGACTGGAACTCAAGATGTGAGAACTGGAGTGTGCATTTCTGCAAATGCTGTGGTCTGAATGTTTGCCCTCCAGAAACTCACGTTCAAACTTCATCCCCAATGTGGCAGTATTGAGAGTTGGGGCCTTTGAGAGGTGATTGGGTCATGAGGGCTCTGCCCTCCTGAATGGATTAAATCATTCCTAAATTTTGGATTAATGGATGAATGGGATAATGGGTTATCACAGGAATAGGACTGGTGGCTTTTTGTTTTGTTTTGTTTTTGAGACAGAGGTTTGCTCTGTTGCTCAGGCTGGAGTGCAGTGGTGCCATCTAGGCTCACTGCAACCTCCACCTCCCAGATTCAAGCAATTCTCGTGCCTCAGCCCCTCAAGTAACTGGAATTACAAGCGTGAGCCTCTATGCCAGGCTAACTTTTGTACTTTTAGCAGATACAGGGTTCCCCATGTTAGCCAGGTTTGTCTCAAACTCCTGACCTTAAGTGATCTGCCTGCCTCAGCCTCCCAAAGTGCTGGGATTACAGGCATAAGCCACCACATCTGGCCTTGACTGGTGGCTTCTTAAGAAGAGGAAGAGAGATCTGAGCTAGCATACTCAGTTCCCTGCCCAGTACCCCTCAACCCCTCACCATGTGACACTCTGTGCCATCTTGGGACTCTGTAGAATCCCCAGTAGCAAGAAGGCTTTCACCAGATACAACCCTTCAACCTCGGATTTCTCAGTCTCCGTAACTATAAGAAATAAATTGCTATTCTTTTTTTTTTTTTTTTTGAGATGGAGTTTCACTCTTGTTACCCAGCCTAGAGTGCAATGGCGTGATCTCGGCTCACCGCAACCTCTGCCTCCTGGGTTCAAGCAATCCTCCTGCTTCATCCTCCCTAGTAGCTGGGACTATAGGCATGCACCACCATCCCCAGCTAATTTTTGTATTTTTAGTAGAGACAGGGTTTCACCATGTTGACCAGGATGGTCTCGATCTCTCGACCTCGTGATCCACCCACCTCGGCCTTCCAAAGTGCTGGGATTATAGGCGTGAGCCACCGTGCCCGGCCTCCTATTCTTTATAAATTACCCAGCTTCAGGTATTCTATTATAAGCAACAGAAAACAGACTAAGACAGCAAATGAAGCCAAACTAGGGCAGGGAAAGAGGAGCGACCGGCCCGAACTGGTGGAAGACAGTGAGAAACAGATAGAACAGGACCCCCTGCTTTGCCCCTGCACCTTGTACCACTACCCCCTTTGCAGGACCTCCTGCTGTGCTCACCCATAGGTCAGTTTCACTTCCTCCCTCACAAACTTGGACTCCTCCACCTCCGGGTAGACCAGCTTGGAGAGGGCTAAAGCACAAGGGGCAGCCATCACGGAGGCTGCGATCAGCGAGGTGGCGTCGATCTGCAAGAGTCGGAGTGTGGGTTCCAGGTAGGCAGTCAGGAGAAACGCTAGTGACCAAGAAGTGCGGCCCAGGGCAGCAAGGGCACACGTGTAGTCTGTCCCACTGGCATGTCCTCATTGTCACAACTGCTATCATCATTATTATAATACCTTTGATGTGTAAAAGCTCACAGGCTACATGTATAGCACCTTCTGTTTCTTCCCGGTGCTTCCCTAACTTAGGAATGATGAATATTGTTATTCTCATTTTACAGACAAGGAAACTGAGACTCCAACGGATTCAATGTGACTTGCCCAAAGTAAAGGAAGAGAAGGAATCAGAGCCCATCACACCTTTTGGCTCCAAATTCAAGGTTCTTTCGTCCTTTTTAAGGCGTCACTGTTGACCACTAATTGCCATTAGCTGAGGTTTCCCCCTTAGTGGAAGAATTTGTGATGGTTTCAGACAAAGATCTAGAACCTGAGAGTGGAAATGAAATGGACTTAACAGCTCACCCAGTTCCACCTTAATGTAGGTATGTACCAGTGTAGGAATGTACCCCCTTTCTAGGTTCTTTCTTTAAATGCTTACTGGGATGGGGAACTCACCACTGCAAGGCAGCCCATCACACCCAATCCTGCAGTGTGAGAACTCCTTCTCAGGAAATCTGCCTCCTACAACCACCACCATCTGGCCCTGAGTCTCCTTCCAGGACCCACGCTGTAAAAACCCTTTCCAGCAAGATGGCAGAGCAATGTCGGCCCCTGTGATTCTCCCTGAATTTTTATCTTCACTGTGACCCCAAACTCCTCACTTCTCTGTTCTTTACCACAGAGATAAATGACATATGTTTTCCCCACATCACTGTGTCATTTACCAAGCAGGGAAACTAGAACCAACTCAGACATCTAACAATAAAGAATGGCTAAGCATCATCCCGCTGTCATTAAAAATGAAGGTCACCAAAGCCTCACAGTGACGGGGGAAAGGACCTACAACACTGCAGGTAGAGAATGACCAAAACTGGGGGCAGCGGGGAAACAGACTCCAAACTGATGCATGGAAAGAGCAGAAAAAAATACACCGAAATGCCAATGAATTCACTGTCCCTGGCTGGTGGGGCCAAGGGTGATTTTCTTTTTTCTTTTCTCTTTTTTTTTTTTTTTTTTATTTTCCCTGAGACGGAGTCTTGCTCTGTCACCCAGGCTGGAGTACAGTGGCACAATCTCGGCTCACTGCAACCTCCACCTCCAGGGTTTAAGCAATTCTCTTGCCTCAGTCTCTGGAGTAGCTGGGATTACAGATGAGCACCACCACACCCAGCTAATTTTTTAATTTTAGTAGAGATGGGGTTTTACTGTGTTGGCCAGGCTGGTCTCAAACTCCTGACCTCGTGATCCACCTGCTTCAGCTTCCCAAAGTGCTGGGATTACAGGTGTGAGCCACCACACCTGGCCAATATTCTTTTCTTTCTGCATTTTGGTATCTTTCAAAATGTCCACAGCAAGATATTTTTTTAATAAACAAAAAAGTAAAATCGGCCGGGTGCGGTGGCTCACACCTGTAATCCCAGCACTTTGGGAGGCCGAGGTGGGTGGATCACAAGGTCAAGAGATGGAGACCATCCTGGCCAACATGGAGAGACCTCATCTCTACCAAAAATACAAAAATTAGCTGGGCATGGTGGCGCATGCTTGTAGTTCCAGCCACTTGGGAGGCTGAGGCAGGAGAACTGCTTGAACTCAGGAGGCGGAGCTGGCAGTGAGCCAAGATCACACCACTGCACTCCAGCCTGGTCAACATAATGAGACTTTGTCTCAAAAAAAAAGAAAAGTAAAATAGACGTTTTCATCTTAAAGTTTATAATAAGCCAACTGTTTTCTCAAGTGTTAAAGAAAAAGGAGGAGAGTAGTAAGTTGAAGATAGACACTCAGGCTGATAAAAGCAGAGGGGAGGCTTGGCGTGGTAGCTCACACCTGTAATCCTAGGATTTTGGGAGGCCAAGACAGGATGGATCATTTGAGGTCAGGAGTTCGAGACCAGCCTGGCCAACATGGTGAAACTCCATTCCTACTAAAAATACAAAAATTAGCCTGGCATGATGGCACACACCTGTAATCCTACCTACTTGGGAAACTGAAGCACAAGAATTACTTGAACACGGAAGGCGGAGGTTGCAGTGAGCTGAGATCACACCACTGTACTCCAGCCTGGGTGACAGAGTGAGACTTTGTCCCAAAAAAAAAAAAAAAAATGCAGAGAACAGAGCATAGGGGCCCCTCATTACCATCTCAGGGAAGTGCCAGCCTGGAGACCCTCTCAGGCTCTGAATCCCAGGTCTTATGTCCTTATTTTTTTCTAAACCCCAGTTGTTTCTTTTTAAGCACCAACAAAACCCCTTAAAACATGAACAAGAATTGGCAGCTGCCTGATACCTCCCCAGGGCCCTGTGTGGACACTGGGCACGCAAGGCTGGGCCCCTGCCTTTTGCTAGATGAAGCCCACTTGGGTCAGGTGTCCTTTGTGGACTTTCTGGGTGGGGCTTTAGGACTTCATCTGCTTCCTCCTCAGTTGCCCAGCCCCAGCTGGGATGGTGCCACACCTGGAATTCTGGGATTTTCCTTCCACCAGTCAGGACTCTGCCCCTTCCTCTGACTTGTAGATCACATCTGGTTTGTAAACCTGAGTCACAGCAGGGAACACATCCTGCAGTTGTCATGTTCCTGGACACTATCCCCTGGGTGGGCCAGTTGTGGTCACCGCCTCAAATGCTGCAGTTGGTAGTTTCCAGCTTGTCATGGAAAGGGCTGAGTCCTGCATAGGCAGGGCTCCCTGGGCACTGGGCCAACCCACATCCACCTCCCCACTGCCAGCTACTCCACTCTGTGATGTTCCCCAGCCCTGCCTCCCAGGCACCTGGTCAGGAGAGCCTTCCATCCTAGCATCCCAGGGCCCACACCTGCCCACGGCCTTTCTCTGATCCGAAGGGTCTCACTTGTCACCCAGGTTGGAGTGTAATGGCATGATCGTGGCTCACTATAGCCTCGACCTCCTGGGCTCAAGTGATCCTCCTGCTTCAGCCTCCCAAATACCTAGGACTGCAGATGTGTGCCACCATGCCCAGCTAATTTTTTATTTTTCAATTTTTTTTTTAAAGATGGGGTCTCCCTATGTTGCCCATGCTTGTCTCAAGCTCCTGGGACAGTTAATTCACTGGCATTTTGGTGTATTTTTTCTGCTCTTTCCATGCATCAGTTTGGAGTCTGTTTCCCCGCTGCCCCCAGTTTTGGTCATTCTCTACCTGCAGTGTTGTAGGTTCTTTCCCATGTCACTGTGAGGCTTTGGTGACCTTCATCCTTCTGCCTTGGTCTCCCAAAGTACTAGAATTACAGGCATGAGCCATGCGCCCAGCCTAGTAGCCACATTTTAAAAAGGAAAAAAAAATAAGTTAAATTAATTTTAATAATGTTTTATTTAACCCAATATATCCCAAATATTTTCTTTCCACCATGTAATCAATATTAAATTATCAATATGGATGACAAAATAAAAACTACAAATTAATAAAATATCTTAAAATTTTTTTAAGTATGGCTAGCCACATTTCAAGTGCTCAATAGTTATGTGTGATTGGTGGCTACTGTTTTGGACAGTGAGGTCTAGAAATGTCCAGATATTAGCAATAGGAGGGATGTGTGAGGAAGGGAGCCAGAAATTGAGCTACAAAGTGGTCTTATAAATCCGGGACTTGGAAGCCAGGCACAGTGGCTCATGCCTGTAATCCCAGCACTTTGGGAGGCTGGGGTGGGCAGATCACCTGAGGTCAGGAGTTCAAGGCCAGCCTGGCCAACATGGGAAAACCATGTCTCTACTAAAAATACAAAAATTAGCTGGGCATGATGGTGGGCCCTGTAATCCCAGCTACTTGGGACACAGGCAGGAGAACTGCTTGAACCTGTGAGGTGGAGGTTGTAGTGAGCCGAGATCGAGCCATTGCACTCCAGCCTGGGTGACAGAGGGAGACTCTGTCTCAAAGAAAAAAAAAGAATCTCGGAGCTTGGAGGAAAGAGCAAGAAAGACCCTTCTGGGATTCAGGGGCTGGGGGCAGAACAAAAGATACTGAGGAACTGACTGGGGAAGGAAGTTAAAGGAGGAAGTGCCTTGCTGGGGTGGTACAGTGACTGTTATGAGCCAGGTGGGGGCAGAAGAGAGCTGCACTGGAGACAAGACTGGGGCAGATCCAGAGATTGAAGGGAAGGAAGGTTTGATAGGCTGTTAGGCGCTTTTCCTCTGGGCCAGCTATGGTTGTAGCCTGGGGCTTGCAAACCAGAGACTGTGAGTGGAGGCTCAAGGGCCCCTAGGGTGGATCCTGGCTGCCTCTGCCCATTCTGTGTAGGTAAATGGACATGGGTACCCAGGCCCCGCTGGGCCTGGACTTTTGCCTGAGAAAGGGAAGGAAGGAGGGCGGAGTTTTCAGCAGACTGTGGAAATGGGCAGGCATTCTTCCAGTGTTTAAGTTCTAAGTAATGACTAGGAAGAACACCAGCGTTATTCTTTTCATTGGCTGAGGGGACCAGAGCCCAGTTAAGACATTTAAAGCCCTAAGTTCTGAAAATAGGATATCCCCTCCCCCAAAATCCTGTCATGAAAAAAGTTTCAGGAACAAAGTTTTGGGTTTCATTTTTTGAAACATCAAATTCCTTCTGTTGAGATTCTAAAAACAATTCCCAAAAATGAAGGGTTCAGAAGCAGCCTCGGAAGAAGTTTTTCTCTCCTGCTCTCCCATCTTTGAGTCCAATTCTTCCCAAGGCTAGCCACAGAAACCAGAATTCCTCTTCCCCAAGGCAGGGCCTGGAGACCAGAAGCTCTTTTACCCAAAGCCAGCCATAATGCCTAAAAACACTGCTCTACCTTCCCTCTGCCTTTCTGGGTAAAAACTGGCCATTGAGAAATTATCTCCCTTTCTTGTTTGACTGAAATGGTTCATAAGGCCCCTTCCACCGACAATCTTGCCCCATACGCCAAAGGAACAAATGCATGCTCAGAGAGCCAAGAAGGGTCTAGACAGACAGGCTTTGCTGTTTCTCCTCCACTGACTCCATTAGTATCGGATCACACTCTGTTGGTCCAATTCTATTTCTACGAGGCTGTCCATGCTTTGTTGAACCTGAGCATAAAAATGGACGATTTTCCCTGTATCTTTGGGTCTTCGTTCTGACGGCTCGCGTGTGTATATATTAAGTAAATTCGTGTGCCTTCCTCCTGTTAATCTGCCTTTTGTGAGTTGAGTTTTCAGTGACCTTCAGAGGGTGTAGGGGAAGTTTCCCTTCGGCCCCTACACTTCCAAAATCTATTGGTGGTGGGGAGTGCACCAGCTCTAATGAGCCCTTTCTAGGCCTCAGAGAGACAGGTGCAAAGCAGATGAGAGTCTCTAGAATTCTAGATGGGAGGGCGCCCTCCCAAATCCAAAGCCCCTGAACACAGGGAGACTTCTTGAAAAGTCATGTAACAGCCGGCCCTGCCAGACAGCTCTGTGGGAGGTTCTTGGTGTGGCCCAAATGTCTGGAGTGAAGGAGAGGCTGAGGGGCAGGCTGGCTGCCCTTTCACCCATCCCTCGTCATCCCCAGGGACAGAGATGAGAGAGACAGGTGGAATTTGGGACTGCAGAAGGGGACAGTGTAGGTCACTCTGTGGTCACCCCCCACCCCCCACAACATCCAGAGAGCCTGACGGGGGGGCCACGGCAGGGCAGGGTCATTCTCCAAAAAACGTGCACAGACCACCTCACTTTCACGATGAATGCCACCGCCTTTTGGCAGCAACTTACCCAGCTCATGACCGTACTGCTGGGCATTTAGGCTCTCCAGTTTTCTTGCTTTTACAAATAATGTTGAAATTTTGCATTTCTTGAACATTTGTGAGAATATCCCTACATCACAATTTTTCTAGCTGGATCAAAGGGAAAGAGTATCTCTAAAGTGACTGAAGCTGGGTGCAATGGCTCATGCCTATATTCCTAATATTTTGGGAGGCCAAGGTGGGAGGATAAATTGAGCCCAGTTTAAGATCAGCCTCGGCAATGTAGCAAGACCCCATCTCTACTGAAAAAAAGAAAAAATAGCCAGAGGTGGTGACTCACATATGTAGTCCCAGCTACTCAGGAGGCTGAGGTGGGAGGATTGCTTGAGCCCAGGAGTTTGAGGCTATGGTGAGCTGTGATCGCACCACTGTACTCCAGCTTGAGTAACAGAGGGAGACTCTGTCTCAAAATATGTATATAAATATATGCTGGTGTCATGTGGGAAGTCAAAAAGGAAAAAATAAATAAAATATTTAAGTGATCTATATAATAAAATTAATATTGTATTATATAAATAAAAATTTAAAAGTGATATATAATAAAACTAATAAAATATTATATCTATAATAAAATAAATAACAAATAGATTGACTGATAGGTGTTCACCAGAAAGGTTACAGTAAATTAAAGTCTCATCATGAGTGTGTGAGTACCACACTCTTGCCATTTGGAGACATGTGAAGGGTTGCATATCGCTTAGAAAAAAGATAAGTTATTATTATTGTCTTAATTCTTTAAACAGTGAGCTTGAATATCTTTTTATAATTTATGAGCTATTTTCTCTTGATCAATGATTCTCATCTGTTATTAAAAAAAAAAAAGAAAGAAAGAAAGTATGTAAGTACTCAGGTGTATATACCCAAAAGACTACTTACCCAGAAAGATTTGGAATGACGTTTTAGGTCCGTGGGTCTCAAATTGAGTGAGCATCAGAATCACCTATGAGCCTTGCTGCCACGCACTATGCTGGTCCTACCCCCCATTGTTTCTTTTCTTTCCTTTTCTTTTCTTTTTTTGAGACAGAGTGTCACTCTGTCGCCCAGGCTGGAATGCAGTGGCACAATCTCAGCTCACTGCAACCTCCACCTCCTGGTTTTAAGTGACTTTCCTGCTTCAGCCTCCTGAGTAGCTGGGATTATAGGCGCCCACCACCATGGCCAGCTATTTTTTTGTATTTTGAGTAGAGACATGGTTTCTCCATGTTGGCTGGTCTGGTCTCAAACTCCTGACCTCAGGTGATCCACCCGCCTTGGCTTCCCCAATCCTTTCTGATTCAGCAGGTCTGGGCTGGGCTGAAGAATCTGCATTTTTAACAAGTTCTCACGTGATGCTGACTATGCTGGTCCATGGACCCCACTTTGAGAACAGCTGTTCTAAGCTATTAAAAGCAGTTACCAGGCCGGGCATGGTGGCCCACACCTCTAATCCCAGCACTTTGGGAGGCTGAGGTGGGCAGAACACGAGGTCAGGAGATCGAGAACATCCTGGCCAACATGGCAAAACCCCATCTCTACTAAAAGTTTTTTAAAAATTAGCTGGGCGTAGTGGCTTGTGCCTGTAATCCCAGCTACTCAGGAGGCTGAGGCAGGAGAATCACTTGAACCAGGGTGTCGGAGGCTGCAATGAGCCAAGATTGAACCACTGCACTCCAGCCTGGAGACAGAGCAAGACTCTGTCTCAAAAAAAAACAACAACAACAACAACAACAAAATTACATTAATAAATCAATAAATAAAAGCAGTTCCTGTGGGAAGTGGGGTTAAGAAAGAGATTTAAAAACTTATTCGCGTCTGCAATAAGCAAGAATTTCTTTGACAGTTAAGGAAAGAAAACTGAGACCTTTGAAGATTTGCCTGTGAGAGCACAAGGTGTTTTACGAATGTAAAGCATTATTACTGGGCATTTTGCAGGGGATGCATTTGAAAATTCTTCTCTGCCTGCCATGCAGTAGCATTGAGATTGCTTTAAGGGCCTAATTCACACCACTGGAATTTGACCTACAAATGCTTTGTGCTGTGTAAACTGCATAGGCAACAATTTAAGAGCAGAGGCAGGACTTGAGCCCAGAGAGAGTGTGGGGAAGGGGAGAAGGGGACAGATCTCTAGAGCCAGTCCAGGTGTGAGACTGGAGAAATGAGATGAATTTTGCAGTCAGATCTGGTTTTGGGCATCTCACTTACACTTGAGCCTCAATTTTATCCTCTGGAAAGGGGGATATTAAAACCCTATTGTATTGCCTGGTACCTAGAATGCACTCAGTAAAGAGAACGCCAGGATGCTTTGCCCTAGGTGACAATGTGCGAAACTTGAGCAAATGGCCCAGCCCACCGGGCCTGCCTGGCTCAGGGGAAGCTGCCCCTGTCGCCAGCACAGCAGGCCCAAGAGAGAAGATCCGAGGCCTTCTCTGGCCAGGCTCTGTGTGGGGCTCCCACAAAGATGGGCTTCAGGTCCTCAACATAGCCAAGCACCAGGAGGGCTCTACCTACCCCAAAGGAGATGTAAGCGCCCAGCAGGCTGCCCGCAATGGTGGCGTAGCCTCCGGTCATGACAACATGGATTTCAGAGAGTGTCATGTCTGCCAAATAGGGCCGGATCAGTAACGGAGCCTCGGTCTGCAAACAAGAAAGATGTCAGACAAGCAGGGCGGGGGCGGTTGAGCACACCCTTCACCTCCACAGGTCACAGCGAGCGCCTGGGAGTCCCGTGGCAAGAGGCAGCAGGATGGGGTGAGGACCAGGGTCTGTGCGTGGCCGAGCCTCTCTGAACCTCAGCATGGCCTGCAGAAGGATCCCCGTCCCCCGTCCCAGCCTGACAATACTCCTCTGTGTCATCGGCCTGCCACAAACCAGGCACCCCACTAAGCACGTCACCTTCATTTCTCACACCTTCTGAGATAGCAGTGGGCATCTCCATTTTCCAGGAGAGCAAAAGAGGCTCAGAGGGGTTCCAGGAATGATGCCTGCTCATGCAGAGGGCCAGGAAGCAGGTCTAAGCTGTCCTGCAGCCACGGGGGTGGCCGAAAAGAAAGGGGCTGGGGTATTGGATGGGGGATGCATTTCTGGGCATCTGGGCAGCCTGAAGCTCTTCATTATTCACTCAGTAACTAGTTTTTGAGCACCTACTGTGTTCCAGGCACTGTTCTAAAGAATAGGAACATGGGGTCAACAAGATAAAATCCCTGCCTTCATGGGGCTTACATCCTGGGAGCAGTGGCGGGCAGAAGGAGGGCTTTAGTGGTGGTGGGAGAATACAGATAATCAACAAGGAACCAAGCAAGTAAGCAATGTCCTTTTAGATGGTGACGAAAGCTATGAGGATATGTCTGAGAATGCCTACTGGTCAGGAGTGTTTAAAACTGAGTGGGCCAGGCATGGTGCCTTATGCTTGTAATCTCAGCACTTTAGGAGGCCAAAGCAGACCGATCACCTGTGGTCAGGAGTTTGAGACCAGCCTGGCCAACATGGTGAAATCCCATCTCTACCAAAAATATAAAAATCAGCCAAGCATGGTGGCATGTGCCTATAATCCCAGCTACTAGAGAGGCTGTTCTGTCTGAACGATCCTGTGGAAGATGTTTCCACTTGCCAAGGGGAAGGGCTTGAGACAGGGAGGGTGATGGGGGAGGGGAGCAACAGTTCTGGTTGTTTGGACTTAGTGTCTTAATGTGAGACACCCCTTAGATCTCCAAGTGAACGGTCAAGGGGCCAGCTGACTTATCAGTCCTGAGTTCGTGGGAGGTCGGGAGGGCAGAGCAGACCTGGGAGACACTGAAAGTGTTTAAAGCCATAGGCTAATGTGATCCCGCAGGGAGGGAGTGTGGACAGACGAGAGGAGAGAGCCAGGCCCGCCACATAGAGAGGATGAAATGACGCCACTGACCCCTGAAGGCTCCCCATCCCCTCCTCTTGCGGGACATGAGGCGCAGACCCAGACACCTGGGTCAGCTTGATCAACTTGTCCGGAGCGAATTTACCTTGGCAGCACTTCACATCACCCAATGTCACCTTCACCTACATATTTTCCCAGCAAAACACACAGAATACATTTGCAGCCTTTCATATAAAATAACTGCTATGCATTTTAATATTGTTTTCCTCTTTCGCCTCATTTTGAACACCTTAAGGGGTTTTTGTGACAGTTTATCTGAGAGCATATCTATCTTCATTGGCTAAAAATAAGATAAAACGAAACAAAAAACAACCGGAAAAAACTTTGAAATCAACACACTTGCACCATAGCAAAAAAGATACAAATATTCTCCAAAGCTTCCTAAACTGTCCAGTGAAATATGGCATCTTTTGACAAGTGTGTCTCTTGGTGACTGAAATGTTAGGCAGATGGGCCAGGACAGACCATGGCAGAGTCTCCAGTGGGCCAACCTCAGGGGGATCAGGCTCTCTGAAAGGGACTCGGCGCTAAGGGTGCTTCCAGAGTCACATTTACTTTGGAAAACACATTTTCAGAAAGAGAGAGAATGGAAAAGACAAAATGATGCAGTGGAAAAAACTCTGACCAGGAAGAAGAAAACCTGGATTCAAACCTGTGGCTTATACATGTGGGATATTGGCCAAGGGATTCCCATGCCCTGAGCCTGTTTCTTTGTGTATAAAATAAGAAACTAGACTTTATCTATAGGATTTGTGAGTCTTTGGGGTGATGAAGGCTGCCTAGGGTTAGAGTGGTAAGAAGTCAGACAGGTGACATCGTCCCTGGCATGACCCAGGCATCCCCAGAGTATCTCTGGGCCAGCAGCCTTTGATGACCCTGGGAGAAGGTTCAAATGGCGTTTCCTCAGACTGAATCAGAGCCCTGGGGACCCAGGGCACCTGCCCACTTTGAGGAAGCTGCTGATGAGCATGAGGGCAGGAGGCTGCCGTACCCACCTGACTCACAAAGATGTTTCCAGCCACACTCAGGGTCTCAGTGGCTGTGGTGCCCATGGTGACTTGCATCAGCCAGGCAATCTAGGAGGAAGCAGAGTGTTCTTTGTGGGCTGATGTCAGCAAACCCCAGAGTCAGAGGCGGGCTGGAGTGGAAGAGCCTACCCATCTTCCTTCCAACTCCCAGTCCAGTGTAGGACCCCTCATCTGCATTTTCCCAAAAGGTCCATTTACCTTCTTCCACACCTTTATTGATGGCTTACCACTTCCCAAAGTCACCCATTCCACCATAGGAATACAGAAAGGATTTCCTGGCCAAATATATTTGAGAATTAGGAATTGCACAGACACACATACATACACACACACACGCGCACGCACACGCACGCACACACCCCTTGGAGATTACCAATACACATTAGTTTAGTAAAGGTTCTGAGAAGTCCTGTATTAAACCTGTTTAAATTTCTGTAGCATGATATCTAGCCTAGTCTCCCCAAATTATTTGACCACGAGGTCAGGCTACCTTTACCTGGTAACATTTATTAACATGCTGTGGAATTAGTTTTGTGGAAAAGGTTTTGGGAAACACTATACTAGAAAGCTTAGCTTTGCTTTCCCTTCTCCCTCCCCCTTCCCCTTCCTTCCCCCTCTCCTCCCTCCCTTCCCCCCCTTCCCCTCCCTTCCCCCTCTCCTTCTCCCTCCCTTCCCCCCCTTCTTTCTTTTTTTCTTTGACAGAGCCTCATCCAGTGGCACAATCTCAGCTCACTGCAACCTCTGCCTCCCAGGTTCAAGCAACTCTCCTGCCTCAGCCTTCCAAGTAGCTGGGATTATAGGCACATGCCACCATACCCAGCTAATTTTTGTATTTTTAGTAGAGACGAGGTTTCACCATGTTAGCCAGGCTGGTCTCAAACTCCTGACCTCAGGTGGTCCACCTGCCTTGGCTTCCCAAAGTGCTGGGATTACAGGTGTGAGCCACCATGCCCAACAGAAAGCTCTTCTTTTTAATCAAGAGGAAATCTGCTTTCCTGGAGTTCTCTCCGCTGCTGGTGCCTCTCAGGCTGCCCTTCCCCTAAACTCTCCTCTGTAAGTATTTGTATACAGCTGTCCTACCCCTCACTTCCTCTTCTCCAGGCTCCTCATTCCTTACTCCTGCAGTCATTCTGCAAAGGGTATGGCTTCAGGCCCTTTCACTCTCCTGCTTATAGTTCAGTTTGTCATAGCCTCTTGGTTGAACACATTCTCCAGATCTGGGAATAATCACCTCCTTTATGCTATGCAGTCTGTGCTCTCAACATAACTGCTATGGTCTGAATATCCCCACCAAAACTCATCTTGAAATTTGATTGCCAAAGTTAAAAAAAAAAAGATATTTGATTGCCATTGTAACAATGTTGAGAAGCATGACCTTTAGGAGATGATTAGGTCGTGAAGGCTCTGCCCTCACGAATGGATTAATGCTGCTATTGCAGGAGTAGTTTGGTTATCATGGGAGTGAACTCCTGATAAAAAGGATAAGTCCGGCCCTGATCTCTCTGTGTCTCATGTGCTCACTCTGCCTTCTGCCCTTCCACCATGTTATGACACAGCAAGAAGGCCCTTACCAGATGTCAGTGCCATGCTCTTGGCCTTCCCAGCCTCCAGAACCATGAGCCAAATAAATCTCTTTTCTTTATAAATTACCCAGTCTGTGATATTCTGTTACAGCAATAGAAAATGAACGAGGACAATAATCACAGGTTGTTTTTGCATTTCTGGTAGCCATCTGATATTCCTGATTTATTCTGAGCTCAATCAGTTAAAACCTCAGAATCTTTTGCCAGGCCCAGTGCTATCCGGTGCTGTCCAATACTGTCTCCTACATCCTGGTTTTGTGCAGCAGATTTTATGAACATAAGCGCACAGGATTTGACATTTATACTAGCTAAATCTGGCCAATATGGCCCACTGCAACAGTGTCTCAATATCTTTTTGCTATAAATTACTTTTCCCCTCTACACCTTCTCAATGCAGCCTCAAAACTGCAACCTTTCCTCCAGCAAAGACCACATTAGACTTTGGTGCTATTTCTCCTTAGTATCATGACAGGAGACCCTGGGAAAGGATATTTGGTCAGTACTAAATTCTGCAAGGGTGGGGATCCTGGAAGCAGGGGGTTCAGGGAAGGTATGGACCTCAGGAGCAAAGGCTTCTAGGAAGGTGTGAACTCTAAGAGTGGGGGATTCTGGGAAGCTGTGGACGTCAGGAGCAAAAGATCCTAGGAAGGTGGAACTCTAAGAATGGGGGATTCTGGGAAACTGTGGACCTCAGGAGCAAAGGATCCTAGGAAGGTGTGAACTCTAAAAGCAGGGGGTTCTGGATAGGTGTGGGCCTCAGGAGCAAGGGATTCCAGAAAGTTGTGGAACTTGGGAACTGGGAGTTCTGGAAAGGTGTAGGCACTGGGAGTAGGGGATTCTGGAAGGGTGTGGGCTTGGAGAGCAGTGTATCTGGGGAGGTTTGGGCTCTGGAAGCAAGCCATTCTGGGAGAGTGTGAACCCTGCGAGCTGGTGACTCTGGGAGAGCCCAGGTCATGGGCACTGAGAACTCACCTTCAGGATCACCCACTGCATAAGGCCCACGTGGTAGAGAACTGATATGACACAGCTGAAGAAGATGATGATGGGCAGAATCTGCCAAGAGGGAGAGCACAGGACTCCAGGTTAGAGGCAGGCGGGAGACAGGGTGCCAGGCAGGGCCCAGGAGACTCCAGGCAGCCCACTCCCTTGCAGGCCTTGCCTCTCAGAGGCGTGCCAGGACCCGGGAAGATGTCTGGGACTGGTGCATGAAGCCCCACCTATTCCACTTGCAGGCCCTCTTTGGAGGCAGCCTCGTCCTCTCAGATCCCCTGTAAATAGTGACAGCCACCAGACCATCCTCTCTCTCCTCACACAGGTAGGCCAGTGCTGTGGTGGGGTGGGGCCTGAGTGCACTGCTTTTATCTCCTGCTTCTTTGTCTCTAAAATGGGGGGTAAAATGCCCACATCCGAGGGGCGTTGTGAGGGTGACAGTGTGCATCTTCTCCACGAGCTCAATCCTTGGCCTCAGATTCTGGCCCTAACCTCTCTCGCGCGTTTTGGGATTGAATGAGGGAACCCTCATCATTCTGATGTTCCGCTTCCGCTCATCACCGACCCAAGCCAGCATCTCCTCCCGTCACCCCATTTCCTATGATTAATACCCAGCTAAATGCCCCTCTTCCTTCACTCCAGGGCTTAGGCATTCTCCCTTCAGAATTTTTCTCACACCCACTCCCTCCTTTCTAGGCCCATGGAAAAGGAGGTTGCTTTTCTGCACCCTAGTCTTTTTTTACTGCAGTCTGATTTATAACAACGAACTGGCAAAAATGGAGAGGTCTGTTAGTGGGGGACTAGTTTCATCACCTACGATTCAGACAGACACCGGCGCACTAAGGGTCAGGAAACAAGAATGCGGAAGGTCTCTATGGGGAGTTGTGGACAGATTCCAAGACGTATTGTTAAATGCAAAAAGGGAAGGTGGACCACAAGAGTGTATGCTATGCTGTTATGTAGGTTTCAAAAGGCGGTGGGACGTAGCTGTGCATTGTGGCATGTGTCTATAGTCCCAGCTCCCCAGGAGGCTGAGGCAAGTGGATTGCTTGAGCCCAGGAGTTCAAGGCCAGGCTGGGGAACATAGTAAGATCCCCTACCTCTCCAAAAACATGTGTGTGAGGGGCACTGTGTGTGATCTTGTATGGGCGCGGGGATCAATAGAAGAATGTGTAGGAGGCCAGCAACAGCAGGTGCCTTTGTGGAGGGAACTGGGTGCCTTGGGGGCCAGGGATGAGAGGAAGGTTATTTTTTACCTTATACCCTTTTAGGTTGGAAATGTTTGCTCTGTTCTGTGTCATGTGTCCCCAACAGTTTACATTCGTCATGCAGAACTGGTAATAGCATGGGAGCATTCTTAAGCTAAAATGTTAAGTGGGAAAATTGGAAAATTTAAATTATAGAAAGAAGCACTACCAAATAGTCAAAGGGCTTGTTTCTATGTGCTGGGGCTATGAAGATTTTGTTTACTTTTTTCTTTATGAATTTCTTATCTGTTCCTATAATTTTCTTTTTTGAGATGGAGTCTCACTGTTTTACCCAGGCTGGAGTGCAGTGGCTTGATCTCAGCTCACTGCAGCCTCTGCTCCCAGATTCAAGTGATTCTCCTACCTCAGCCTCCCAAGTAGCAAGGCTTACAGGTGCCAGCTGCCACGCCCAGCTAATTTTTGTACTTTTATTAGAGACAAGGTTTCACCATGTTGGCCAGGCTGGTCTTGAACTCCTGACCTAAAGTAATCTGCCTGACTCATTCTCCCAAAGTGCTGATATTACAGGTGTGAGCCACCGTGCCCAGCTGTTCCTATAATTTTCAATAATAGGTGGACATTTCTCAAGGGAGAGAGTATAGGCAGGAGTGGTTTGTGGGAAAATCAGTTTGGTTTTGAACTTTGAATTTGAGATGCCTGTGGAATATCGAGTGGCAGCTGGATAAAAGGAGGGGAGATCTGGACCTGGCCTTGGCTTGGGACTCTTTCATAAGAAGTACAAGTTGGCCCAGCGTGGTGACTCACACCTGTAATCCCAGCACTTTAGGAGGCCGAGACAGGAGGTTTGCTTGAGTTCAGGAGTTTGAGACCAGCCTCGGAAACAAAGCAAGGCCCCCATCTCTACACAATTTCTTTTTAATAGCTGGGCATGGTGGCACATGCATGTGGTTCCAGCTGCTCTGGAGGGTGAAGTAGGAGGATCACTGGATTCCAGGAATTGGAGGCTGCAGTGAGTCATGATCATGGCACTGCACTACAGCCCAGACAACAGAGTGAGACTCCATCTGGTGGCTCACACCTGTAATCCCAGCACTTCAAGAGGCTGAGGTGGGTGAATCATTTGAGGTTAGGAGTTCAAGACCAGCCTGGTCAACATGGTGAAACCCCATCTCTACTCAAAATAAAAATAAAGTCGGGTGTGGTGGTAGGCGCCTGTAATCCTGGCTACTCAGGAGGCTGAGGCACGAGAATCACTTGAACCCAGGAGGGGGAGGTTGCAGTGAGCCAACATCATGACACTGCACTGCAGCCTGGGGTGACTGAGTGAGACCCTGATAAAAAAAGAAGAAGAACAAGAAGAAGACATAGTAGTGGTACAGGCTGAGGTGGCTGGTGGGTGCAATTCACTGTGGAAATCACCCTGAGTGAAAAGAGCAGGGGCTAAGGAGGCCCTGTGCTCAGTGCGTCACTGAAGGGTGAGAGCGGAAGGAGGTGCCTGTGAAGGAGACAAAGAAATAGCCAATGGCCAAGGCAGGCTGATCACCTGAGGTCAGGAGTTCAAGACCAGCCTTGCCAACATGGCGAAACCCCGTCTCTACTAAAAATACCAAAAATTAGCCAGGTGTAGTAGTGGGCACCTGTAGTCCCAGCTACTAAGGAGGCTGAGACAGGAGAATTGCTTGAACCTAGGAGGCAGAGGCTGCAGTGAGCCAAGATTGCACCATTGCACTCCAGCCTGGGCAACAAGAGCAAAACTCCATCTGAAAAAAAAGAAAGAAAGAAATAGCCAAGGTCTGGAAATAGCGAGGAGACAGGTGGGATGGAAACGGAGGGGCAGATTTTCAAGAAGTGAAAGTCACTGGCAGCTGTGTCAGGTGCATCAGAGAACTCTGGAAAGGTCAGGACTGAGCCAGACTCCTGGGACTTAGCCACCCGGAGGCGCCCGTGATCTAGGTGAGAGCGGTGTCAGAGGAAGGGTGGGGACCGAGGCTGATGTCAGTGAGCCAAGGTGGAAAGGGGACATGAGGAAGGAGAGATCACAAGTGTGAACAGCTCTTGCTGCAAGGAGCAGCGCTGTGCTCACCACTGGACCCTGCTGAGGGCCCGGCAAGGGCTGCTTTTGTTTTTAAGGAGGGAGAGTCTTGAGCAACCAAATTTAGGCTCTATTTCAAAGTGAACTGGCCCCTGAAGAGAATGGCGATTCAGCCCCAGGCAGCTGGGAAGCAAGCTCTGCTGGCCTTTTCTTCCTCCTGTCCCTTCCCAGACCGATACTGCAGGCAGTATCTGGACTTGCTCTGCTGTCATCTGTCACCAACTTCACTGCAGTGGGGAAGTCACCTGACAGAGAACACCAGAACCGGCTCAAAGAAACCCTTGTGCTGGCCCCTTGTGCTGGCCCGTGACTCCTCCTCCCGCCTGGGGCTAGAAGCATGTCCAGCATGGGTGTGATGACATCATTTCACCACTCCTGGGACTGAGACGCAGAGGGGGTCACGCACTGTCTAGACTGCTTGTCCAGTGGGTCCTGAGAGAGACTGGCAGGCCTGTAGGGATGGCCCACGCCAGGGAGGAGAGTGCCCGGGACATCGGGACCCCACTGCAGCACTGGGACTTTCTCCTGCCAGCAATCAAAAGAGATTTTCTATCTGTGAGATGGAGATGGATGGTGGAAAAGAGGCTATGTTTTGGATTAAGTGGGGATTGTCTAGGGAGGGGAGGGGAATGAAAGAGAAAACAGCGGCCCCAATTTTCTAAGGTAGGATAGAATACTAAATAAGGTCCCTGCAGCCAATGCCATCTCAGCCCAGGAAACAGCTCTGGGGCGCTCCCTGGTAGATGTGAGATGGCAGAAGAGCAGGGCAGGCAGCTCAAGGCAGTGCTGCTATGGAAGGAGGAGGCAAGTGCCGTTAAATTCCACTGTGCGCCAACCACGAGGGCCTGCTCTGGGCCAGGTCCCTAACGGGTGGGGACTCATCAATGCTCACAGCAGCTGTGGTGGATGTAACTGTCCCCACTTCACAATGAGCACACGGAGGCTGTGAGATCTTGGTTACCCACCTGAGGTCATACACCAGCAAAGAGGGAGACCTACCTCCCAGCCACCAGGTACAATGCCAAGGTCCTGCCATGCCCCTCGGGAGGTTTGCCCCGGGAACAGTCCTGGAGGTTTATTCCTCTGCCTTCAGGGGCAGCATGCATCCCTGCTGGAAACTGAATAACTGAGTCCCCCCAAATTCATATATTGAAACCTAATTCCCTAGGTGATGGTATTAGGAGGTGGAGACTTTGGAGTGATCAGATTATGATTGTGGAGCCCTCATGAATGGGATTAGTGCCCTTATAAAAGAGGTCCCATGCCAGGCACAGTGGCTCACACCTATAATCCCAGCACTTCGGGAGGCTGAGGCTGGAGGATCCCTTGAACTCAGTTCAAGACCAGCCTGGGCAAAAAAAAAAAATTAGCTGGGCATGGTGGCATGCACCTGTAGCCCCAGCTATTCTGGAGACTGAGGCAGGAGGATCACTTGAACCCAGGAGATGGAGGCTGCAATGAGCAGTGATCACATCGCTGCACTCCAGCCTGGGCAACAGAGTGAGATCCTATCTCAAAAAAATAAAAATAAAAAATAAAAGAGGCTCCAGAGAGCTCCCTCACCTCTCTTACCACATGAGGACACAGACAACCAAGTGGGGAGAGGGCAAAGTGGGCCTCAACAGAAGTCACCCTTGCGGGCACCCTGATCTCAGACGCTAGCCTCTAGAAGTGTGGGAAATAAATTTCTGTTGCTTGTAAGCCACCCAGTCTATGGTTTTCATTATGGCCTCCTGGATGGACTAAGGCAGCCCCCTTCAAGGAATGGGGGTAAGTTCTGACCACTGCCTTGTAGAAGTGGCTTTGGAGGTGGGTCCTGCTTGTGCCATAACTCAAGGAAGAAGGAAATCTAGCTCTTCCAGCCCAGTGGTGGTCAGCACATGGACCAGAAGCATCCTCTGAGAATGTGCTCGGAACATTTTGGATTGAATAGGTCTAGGGTGGGGTCTGATGTTTGGCCTTTCCAGATGCTGCTGGTGCAGCTGACTGGGACACCACACTCTGACAACCACGGCCCTAGAGCCTAGATTAGAGGCTCTGAGCAGACGTCATCACCTGGCCAGGAAACAGGCTTTGAAGGCCGGACAAAACCCACAAAGGACACGGCCTGCTCCCTCCTCTCCCTGGAGGAAGTTGAGCCAGGGCTCCTGCTGACTTCCTAAGTCTGTCTGGGCAAACCCTCATGTCCCCAGACCCCAAGGCCTGAGCACTGTAGACCGTGCCCTGTCACCAGCCCCAGGCCATGGTGAACCACAGAAAACCCGAAGATGGAAGATGCTCGGGGCAGCAGCTGCAGTGTACACTGCCGACCGCCAGAAAGTGGAAGGGACTCGTCTCCAAGTCCAGAGCAGCTGCATTTCTGGCTGTCCCCTAGCTATACCTCCTGAATTCCTGTTTGTGCCATCCTTCACCCAGAATGGCCTGAGCACTTTGCCCCTCATGCCCATCGCTGCCTGGATCCCAGGTTTTCAACAAGATGTCTCCTACCTCAGTGGTACCATCTCCCTTCTTTCAGCCATCCCACCCCAGGCTTCACTGATTCCCATTCCTTTCACCGAAATCCATGCTCACTAATGTTACCGATTACTCCTTAATTACCAAACCCAGTGACACCTTTTGGTCCTTATTTGATCTTTATGTGTATTTGTGTGTGTGTGTGTGTGTGTGTGTGCGCAAAATTGGCACTCTTGACACTGGGGATTGCATAGTCTGTGTCAGACACCCCAAAACTCTCAGGAGATGAAGACATTTTCCTTGACCCTAGGGGTTCCTCCAGAGAAAATCTGAGCAGCACTGCTGAGATTAGTAGAGAAAAGAATAAGATGTGCTCCCGGTCAACCAGACTGGTGGGTGTGCTCATGAGGATGGAAAGTTACTAGGAGGGAGACGGAGCCAAGGTGGGATGACTAATCCAGCTTCAGCCAAGGGGTGACTGCCACGGCCATGTCCACTGTGCCAGACTCCAGGCCCAGGGCAGGCCGAGGGCTGAAGGAGCCCCGGGAAGAGGCTTTATTTCCCCCCAGGAGAGAGCAGCTGGACCATGGCCAGCAGGAAACAGCTTGGATTCTGAAAATCCGAGTGAGCTCAGAGAAGACTTCTCCAAACTGAAATTGGCTAAAGGCCTTGGACTAGGTCTGCGTGATTCACAGAAAGAATAGACAGAACTTCCTGAGTCTTCTGTTCAGGTCAGCCCTACCTCGAGAGCAAATCCCAAGCATATGTGTATGATACAGGGGAGCAGGGAGGCTGAATACAATGTTGTGGTTAGTGAGAAAGAGAATTCTTTCTCAACATCTGCCACGCATCTTTTCCAGCATTGCTAAGGATGAGGCATTGGCCGATATGCTGTCCAGGAATTTGTCCAAAGGACAGGTCTCCCAGGGGCCAGGAAACTATAGTGTTTGTCTGGGAAATGCTGGTCAATGATAAGCCCACCCCACTATTGTTTCTGCCTTAACTGAACATTCAACTTCAAAGTTTTTTGCCACCACTGATACCTTTTTATTTTATTGTTATTTTCTTTTGGGGGATGGAGTCTTACTGTGTTGCCTGGGCTGGAGTGCAGTGGTACAATCTCTGCTCACTGCAACCTCTGCCTCCTGGGTTCAAGTCATTCTCCTGCCTCAGCCTCCTGAGTAGCTGGAATTACAAGTGTCCACCACCATGCCTGGCTAATTTTTATATTTTTAGTAGAGATGGGGTTTCACCATATTGGCCAGGATGGTCTCAAACTCCTGAACTTGAGCCAATATGGTGAAGCCTGCGACTACCTCAGGCTCCCAAACTACTGGGACTATGGGCAAGAGCCACCATGCCTGGCCTAACTGACACATTTTTAAATAATCCTTTTTGTTTTTCAGAGTGCTTTTTGTGTTTGGAGGAGAGATATGAGGTCACTGATTTCCTCTGACAGTGTGAGGAAGAATACATCCCTTAATCGGAAGTCCAGTGGAGGGGTCTAGTTCTGGCTCTGCCCTAACTCACTGTGCCACCACGGCCAGCCCACTGCTCCTCTCTGCGGCTTGGTTGGACCACCTGTAATACAAAAGGGAGGCCCAAACACCACTGAGCTTTCTCCTGGTGCACACAGTCCAGGAATCCACAATTCTAAAGGGTGATTCAGGGAGCAATGCAAGCAGCAGGTGTGCACACATCCTTCCAGAAAGGGAGGCAGGACATGAGGAGACATAGCTAATGTGGCCAGGGGCCAGACACAGAGGCAAGCCCAGCAATGACGCAGGAGAGACGCGGGCTGGGGCTCCGGTGGAAAGCAGCCACATGGCCCGCTCAGCACCCCTTCCCCGCTTCTTTGGCTAACGAGGCTGTCATTTCCCTTTGGGAAACAGCTTGTACGCCCATCCATTGAACTGTGCCCTGCACCGGGGACATGCCAGCACGTTCTCACCTCCATGCTTTACCATCCCATTTCCTCTTTCTGCCTAGCTCCGTGTGTCCAAATCTCTTCTGTCCTAAACTCCATGTCAAATGCCACCTCCTCAAGGAGCCTTCCTCACGGTCCCTTATTAGAACAATCTCTCCTGTAGGTACTTCCTCAGGCTTCTCCATTATTACACTTGAACCCAGCTTCCTGGGGAGGTTGAACTGCAGAGTGTCAGGTGTGTGTGTGTGTGTATGTTTTTTTTGTTTGTTTGTTTGTTTGTTTGTTTTGAGACAGAGTTTTACTCTTGTTGCTCTGGCTGGAGTGCAATGGTTCAATCTCTGCTCACCACAACCTCCATCTCCCGGGTTCAGGTGAGTCTCCTGCCTCCGCCTCCCTAGCAGCTGGGATTACAGGTATGCACCACCATGCCCAGCTAATTTTGTATTTAGTAGAGACGGTGTTTCACCATGTTGGTCAGGCTGGTCTCGAATTCCCGACCTCAAGTGATCCACCCACCTTGGCCTCCCAAAGTGCTGGGATTACAGGTGTGAGCCACCATGCCTGGCCGGGTGTGTGTGTTTTAAAATGTGAGAAGCTGTGGGAGCTTCCCTGCTTGGGTGGACATGGGAATTCACCCTGAAGCAGATCTTACTGCTCTTTTCTGAAACCTTCGGTACCCTCGCATTGATTATGCCAAGGTAAGGGAGTAGTGCCTGTTACCCTAAAGGACGGTATTAGGGGCCTTTTCGGAACTGACAGAGGCTGCCCCTCCCAATATTCTCCTTATGCAGAACTGGTCTCAGAAAACATGATGGGCAAATTCGCCCAGGGGGGCAAGAATACTTCAGAGAATACAGGAACTTGGCCCCCCCACTTTCCTCTTAGGACTGACAACGTTAGACTGGACATTCCCCAGGGCGTCCACTGGCACAACAGATGCTAAGGCTCCAAGGGGAACTCGCCAGAGGTCGGGGTCGGGGGTAGGCAGGAGGGTCTGAACTCATGACCTGGCTCAATGCCAGCCCAGAAGTCCATAGACAAGGCCATGGCTTAAGCCAAAAGTCTTCTGGGTCCAACACCCCCAGGAGGGTGGGGAGGCTCTGGGAACAGTGGCCTGCATAATGAAAATAGCAGAAACCTCTGGAACCTACACATAGGGTCTTACACAGCAGCTCCATGGTGATGGTGGTCCCGGATGTACCAGGGTGGGCTGCCCTGATTTCCCTCTCGGTGCCAGGCATCGGTGGCAGAAAACTGCGGCCAGCTACTGGGTGAGTGGGGCCCCAGGCCCCTCTCTCCCTCTCTCCCCGCCCCCTCTCTTTTGCCTATCACGTGGAGTTTAAGCCTAGAGCGAGCCTCAGGGTCTTAGACAATTTGAGTGTAAGGCAGGCAGAGGAGGGCTCTGCGAGAGTTCTTACTAAACAAGACATTTTGGTGCTTAAACAGTTAACTGGGGAAAAAAGAAATACAACCACAGCCCCACCCAGAACAGTGAAGCGGGTCCCCCCACAGCGTCCTGGGCACAGGCTGCTCTGTTTTTAAATTAGGGTTGGGGCTCCACCATAGACAATAAGGTCTTTGAGACAGAACAGTGTCTTTATCTTCATTTCCCCTGTAATATTTTGCAGTGCTGTAAATGTACAATCGATTTTTGTTGGAAGAAAGAAAGGAAGGATGGATGGAGGCAGGGAGAGAGGGAGGGAAAGCAGGATCCTATGTCTAGGAGGACACAGAGGAAGGAGCTGTTGCTGCTGGACTAATAAGGGCTGGCTTCCTGGCAGAGGTGGCCTGTGAGGAGCCCTGAAGGAGGAGCACCTGAGAGAGCCTAAGCCTTCCCGGAAATCACTCATCCTAGGCCCAGGGTCTCTGCAGACTTCAGGGGCTCGAGTCTCGGTGGGAGCTATCCCCACGACCCCTCCCCCTACTTCTTATCCTCAGCCACTCAATAATTCTATAATCTGGAGGTTCATCTCTAAGGAAAAGCACACAGAAACATCTTTTGCAAATTTTACAAAATATAGCAAAACACATGTCATGAGTTGCACATTGCTGGGCCCCTCCCAGGGCCCCAGGCTTAAGCTTCACTAGCTTCCCAGTACAGCAACGTCTGCTCACAGGACCCCTCCCCTCCAACTGGGCACCCACCGTGCCGCGACTCCCCTCTAGCTGGAGGCGCTGGGCAGTGGCTGCTAAAGGCCTCCGGGACCCTGAGTCAAGCTGACCTGAAAGGCAAAGACATCCTTGACCAGCACGTCCCCAAACACGAAGCTGGAGCCGGCCTCTGTGTAGCTCAGGAAGGTCTGAAACAGAAAAGCAAAATAAACAAAAACAGGCAGTGAGGCTGGAAAGGGAGGAGGGAGGAAGCGGCAGTCAGAGACAGGCGGGTTGGCCCTGGGACGGTCCCCTAGGCCCTTATCGGGGTGGGCACCACCTGGCAAGGAGTGTTAGAGCTACCGTCAGGAGCACTCGCTTCTAAGCACATTTACCAAAGAGACACCGTTTCAGTCAATTTTAAAGAAATGCTCTGTAGGCCGGGTGTGGTGGCTCATACCTGTAATCTCAGCACTTTGGGAGGCCGAGGCAGGAGGATCACCTGAGGTCAGGAGTTCGAGACCAGCCTGGCCAACATGGTGAAACCCTGTCTCTGCTAAAAATACAAAAATTAGCCAAGCGTGGTGGTGGGCACCTGTAATCTCAGCTACTAGCGAGGCTGAGGCAGGAGAATCACTTGAACCCAGGAGGCAGAGGTGCCAAGATCACACCACTGTACTATAGCCTGGGCAACAGAGCAAGACTCCGTCTCAAAAAAAAAAAATTAAAAAGAAATGCTCTGAGAGTCGTTAGGACAATGAAGAAGAGACAATGGAAGACGCAAGACCAGGAGACGTGTGAAGAAGGTGGTGCCCTTTGTGCCTGCTCAGACCCCTGACAATCAATGGTAAAACCTCCCCTCATCTTGTCCCCATCCCTAGCTTGAGCCCAGCCATGCTTCTACAGGAGCCCTGTGTTATATCCTGAACTTGCATTGTGACTGCAGGGCCAATGAGTTACTTCTCTTGTTCAGCCTCAGCATTCCCATCTATAAAATGGGGACATGATCAGAAAAGCAACTCTCTGTCTTTCCCTCCACACCCCATGGAGTACTGTCAGTGATGCCAGCAGGTGTGCACGGCCCGGGACTGGCAGGTTCTCATGCGCCACCCTGCACAGAGCACAGGGAAATGCAAGCTGGTGAGAGGGAGGTAAGTATATTAACCTATTTAACCTATGTCCTTGACAATTCATATTTTTTAAAGTGTTAAAAATACAAAAATTAGCTGGACATAGTGGCTCATTCCTGTAGTCCGAGCTACTCGGTAGGCTGAGGTGGGAGGATCCCTTGAGTCCAGGATGTCGAGGATGCAATGAGTCAAGATCACCCCACTGCACTGCAGCCTGGGTGATGGAAGTGAAGCCCCATCTCAAAAAAAAAAAAGAGGCCAGCACGGTGGCTTATGCCTGTAATCCCCGTACTTTGGGAAGCCAAGGTGGGCAGATAACTTGAGACCAGGACTTCAAGACCAGCCTTGGCAACATGATGAAACCCTGTCTCTACCAAAAATACAAAACTTAGTCTCATAGCCTGGTCTCAAAATAAATCAACAAATAAATAGATTTTCTAAAAAAAGTTCTAAGCGTTGAGACCATTGGTTGGGACTGAGTTCCTGTACTGGGCCCAACAGACCAACCAAAATGGGATCACTCATGCTACAAAGTTCCACACCACAAGTCAAAACCGAGCCATCTTCCGACCTTCCCAAAATTCAGGAGGATGAGAGATAAAGCCGAATCCCCAAATGTGGCATGACAGCCAGTCCCTTAGCTTTGACCTTTACAGGGAAAGTAATGTTGAAACCACCAAGCTGCTTTCTGTTTCCTGTTTCTGCTTTCTTCAGCCCTTCTCTGTCTATAAAGCCAGCCTCATCTGCTCAGCTCATCGGAAGGAACACTCACTCTATTTTTACAGAATGCGGTGTTGCCTCGTTCTAAAATCACAAATAAAAGCCAAATAGGATTTTTAACCAAATTTGTTGTAATTTTCTTTGGACAAAAGCAAATCATGACAGTGTGCGTAAATTTGATGACACTTAAAAATGGTTAAAATGGTCGATTTTATGTTATATAGATTTTACTACAGTAAAAAACAGAATTGCTGGGCACCCCGTGGCTCAAGGTGAGAAAATCACTTGAGCCCAGGAGTTTGAGACCAGCCCGGGAAATATAGGAAGACTCTGTATCCCCTCAAAAAATGGTTTTAATTAGCTTGGCATGGTGGCTCACACCTGTAGTCCCAGCTACTCAATACTGGGGAGGCTGAGGTGGGAGGATCACTTGAGCCCAGGATGTCAAGTCTGCAGTTCACACCACTGCACTCCAGCCTGAATGTCAGAGCAAGACTGTCTCACACAAAACAAAACAAAACAAAACAGGGCTGGGTACAGTGGCTCACACCTGTAATCCCAGAACTTTGGGAGCCTGAGGCAGGTGAATCGACAGAGGTCAGGAGTTCGAGACCAGCCTGGCCAACATGGTGAAACCCCCATCTCTACTAAAAATACAAACATTAGCCAGGCATGGTGGTGGGTGCCTGAAATCCCAGCTACTAGGGAGGCTGAGGCAGAGAATTGCTTAACCCCAGGAGGTGGAGGTTGCAGTGAGCCAAGACTGCACTACTGCACTCCAGCCTGGGCAACAGAGAGACTCTGTCACAAAACAAAACAAAAACAGAATAAAAATGTTGAACTTCAATAAACATTATTTTTAAATATACATACACACAAGTAAATCATTTGCAGATTTTGGGGGATTTTTTTTAGCACTTTTAATTATTACAATTTCCAAGTCACTGATGACTACAGACCCAGCCTCTGAAAGGATTACTCCACTGGGGCCTTGGTACCAGGCATGATGGAAGTGGCAGCTGTGCTGCCCAGCCACCCACTGCCCACCTGGCCTAGGGCCCCAGTTGACCCCACCCTCCCGGTCCCAAGCCTTCTCTGTGGCCTCAGCACCCACCTCTTCCCCTGCCAAGTGGCTTCTCCCCTGCTCTCAGTAACCCAAGATGCTCTGGGCAGCCGGCCCCATGTACCTACCCGGATCTGCTCGCCCAGCCACTGGAATGCAATGAATCCTGGTTCTGTTCTGATGACGAGGAGTCCCAGTACAAACTGCAGTCCAAGTCCCCAAGACACGGCTCGCCAGGACACCTGCCACCCCACCCCACAGAAAGGTCCTGGTGAGCTCAGCTCCTTGAGGGATGGGCAGGGAGCAGGGCAGGGGTGAGGGCAGAGGGCATCGGCTGCCGAGGGAGCGCAAGAGCATTGGTGGTTACACCCTCGCTGGGATTCAGAACAGGCTACGTGCTAGGCAGGAATGAGCCTGGGCAGTGGGCAGGGGTGGGCCAAGATTCTAACTAAGAACTTAGGTGAAACCTCACCAGCCTTGGGCATGCCATGGCACTTCGTCTCCTGGTCCTCACTGCCAGAGCAGTGGCCTGGGGTTCTGGCCTCAGGATCACCACCAGACTGCTCCGGGCCCAGCTCCCCTCCAGCTAGTGTGAACTCAGTCTGCCTGACCCTCTCCACTCTCTCCGCCATAAGCTGGGCTCTGTGCCCACACCCCTTGCCCCTCGCCCCTCCCAGCAGAGGAGAGCTGGGTTCCTCAGGTTGCTCTTCCTGGTCAGCATCTAATAATTCCTTAGCAGTGAGTCCAGGCTCAGGCGTGCATCAGATGCTCCTGGGAGGCTTGGCTGTAGCCTGGGGAAGGGGGTGGCCACACCATGAAACAGGGAGGGATCCTGATGCCGCAGAGGCAGAGAGACAGAAGGTTCCTTCCGTGTGGCTACGTTAGTATACATCAGAATTGAGTACACATCAGAACTGAGTACACATCAGAATTCTGCTTGCTGACAGGATGATTGCTGCCCTTGCCCCTGAGTTTCTAATGCAGTGGTCCTAGGGTGGGGCTTAAGAAGTTACATTTCTAATAAGTTCCATGGAGGCGCTGCTGCTACTGGTCTAGTGCGCAGATTTCGAGAAGCCCTATTTTAAGCTAATGATTCCAGGAAACCCTTGGCTCTGCAGACGGACTGGAGCTCTGGACTGCGCTATCTGTGGTTGTGGGTGGAGGTGGCTCCTGAGACCACAGACCTGAAGACCAGGATTAGACTGACCAGAGGACATGTCGCCAAGGAAACAAATGTCCCGCTGGCCTCTGAGTCAAGAGACGCATCCCTGCTGGGGAGCGTGAGGACTTCTGCTTCACAGGAAGCCTGTCCTGATGCACACAGGTCTTCTCTAGGCTCTGAGCCTCCAGGAATCTGCCAACAGGAGCAACTGCCCGTACCCCAGCTCCCAGCTCCAGCCTCGGGGTGGAAGAGAGAGACAGACACTTCCAGTCCTGGGCCCCACAAACTAGCACTCACCGCGCAATGATGCTTTGAGCAGGCAAAGAGGAGGACGATGAACACGCAGATTCCTGCAAAGGACACCAGTTGCTCCGGCCGCTGGGAGGTGTCCAGAGACAGCCACAGGACCAGGCCCAGGAAAGCAGCAAGCGCTAGGGCCCTGCAGGCAAGAGGCAGAAAGCCATTACCGTCAGCACTGCACCCCGCTTCACCATACATTACAGCACTCAGGGCCCCAGGGAAAATGTGCTCAGGGCTGGGAGGAAGAGACTGAGCACAGCACAGTGGAAAGAGCACCAGCTCTGGATCCACATGCTGGGAAGGGCTGACCTTGCTGTGTGACCTCAGGCAGATCACCTACCCTCTCTGAGTCTAGTTTCCTCATGGGTCAAATGAAGCCAGAGACCTCTCATTTCTCAAGGTTGCAGAGAGGATCAAATAAGAGGATGTATGTACCAAGCTGAGCATAGTGATGAGCACCTGGCTCCCTCCAGTTACAGGAACTCACCACTGCAGTGATGCTCAGCTCATCCTCCGACCTTGGGAGAAGAAGGGCCTGTGCCGCCCAGGACTCAACACTGTCAGCCTTGACTGTCAAATGCCGAGAAGCAATCATGTGAGTCGGGACCTCTGAGCTGAGCACCTGAGACCAAGGAGTGGATCCAACCTTAACAGCAACACTTTCCTCCTGGGGGCTGAGATTTGTTTGTCCAGGATGTAGCCCGCAGGGTGGAAGAGCCCAGATTTTGGCATCAGATGTTCAAGATCTCACCCCAATCTGGTCATCAACTCACTGGGAACTACTAATAATGGTTAATGTTCATCAAGCACCTATTACAGGCCAGGTACCACACCAATGCTGAGAGACCTGTTCTTTTCATAGAGATGAGGAAACTGAGGCACAGAGAGGTTAAATAACTGGCCCAAGCCCACTCCCTAGAAAGTGAAAGAGCTGCAATTTCAACCCAGGCACTCTGGAAGCAAGGTCTATTCACTTAACTATGGTTTGATCCAGGCCGGTTCTAGCTGGTAAGAGGGATCGGAACTCAGGCTAACTCCAGAGTCCACGGCTTTTACTTCTGCTCCTGTTTCCAAACCCTTCTCCTCCCAGTTTAACGTGCACAACTTTTGCCTTGTTTTTCTGCCCACTGTACTTCTCTTTACTTACTACTTTTCTTGAGGTTATAACCGACTTTATAAAAACTTCAATGTGGCCAGGGCGGTGGCTAACACATATAATCCCAGCACTTTGGGAGGCCAAAGTGGGTGGATCACCTGAGGTCAGGAGTTCGAGAACAGCCTGGCCAACATGGTAAAACCCTGCCTCTACTAAAACTTCAAAAATTAGCTGGGCATGGTGGCAGGTGCTTGTAATCCCAGCTACTTGGGAGGCTGAGGCAGGAGAATCACTTGTACCTGGGAGGCAGACGTTGCGGTGAGCCAAGATCTTGCCACCGCACTCCAGCCTGAGCGACAGAGCAAGACGCCGTCTCAAACAAAACAAAACAAAAAACCTTAAATGCTTGTTTCAGGTTTTTTAACAGCTTTATTAGAGGTATGACGGATATGTGATTGATTGCACATATTAAAGGTGTTCAATTCGATAGGTTTCGGCATACGTACACCCCTTAAAACCATCATGGCAGAATCAAGAGAGTGAACATATTCATCGCCCCTTTTGTAATTCCTTGCCTCCCTCCCTGTTCCCAGGCAACAGCTGATCTGTTTTCTGCCACTAGATTAGCTTGCTTTTTTTTTCTCTTTTTGGAGATGGGGTCTGACGGTGCAATCTCAGCTCACTGTAACCTCTGCCTCCTAGGTTCAAGAGATCCTCCTGCCTCAGCCTCCTAAGCAGCTGGGACTACAGGTGCATTAGCCACCACACAAGGTTAATTTTTTTTGTATTTTAGTAGAGATGGGGTTTCACTGTGTTGCCCAGGCTGGTCTTGAACTCCTGAGCTCAGGCAATCCACCTGCCTCAGCCTCCCAAAATGTTGGGACCACAGGCATGAGCCACTGAGCCCAACCTAATTTGCATTTTTTTGGAGACAGAGTCTCACTCTGTTGCCCAGGCTGGACTGCAGTGACATGATCTCAGTTCACTGCAACCTCCACCTCCCAGGTTTAAGCAAGTCTCCTGCCTCAGCCTCCCAAGTATCTGGGACTACAGGCACACACCCCACACCCGGCTAATTTTTGTATTTTTAGAAGAGACGGGATTTCACCATGTTGGTCAGGCTGGTCTTGAATTCCTGACCTCAAGTGATCCGCCTGCCTCAGCCTCCCAAAGTGCTGAGATTACAGGCATGAGTCACCGAGCCCAGCCAAGCCGTTTTTGTTTTTTTTTTTTTTTTTTGAGACAGTGTCTCACTCTGTCACCCAGGCTGCAGTGCAGTAGCCTGAGATCTCGGCTCACTATAATCTCCACCTCCTGGGTTCAAGTGATTCTCCTGCCTCATCCTCCCAAGTAGTTGAGACTGCAGGAACCTGCCACTACCCCCAGCTAATTTTTGTATTTTTAGTAGAGATGTGGTTTCAACATGTTGGCCAGGCTGGTCTTGAACTCCTGACCTCAGGTGATCCGCCCACCTTGGCCTCCCAAAGTGCTGGGATTACAGGCATGAGCCACTGCACCTGGCCTTGAGCCCATTTTTAAATTGGGTTATTTTTCTTATTAAAGAGTTATGACAGGCTGGATATATGCTGGATAGCTCCCAGACTGGGGGGCGGTGCAGAGGCATGATTTCAGTTCACTGCAACCTCCACCTCCCAGGTTCAAGCAATTCTTGTGCCTCAGCCACCCAAGTATGATAGCTGATACTACAGGCACATGCCACCATGCCTGGCTAATTTTTTTTCTTTTTTGTATTTTTATTAGAGACAGGGTTTCACCATGTTGCTCAGGCTGGTCTTGAACTGCTGGGCTTAAGTGATCTCTCCGACTTAGCCTCCCAAAGTGCTGGGATTATAGGCAGGAGCCACCATGCCCAGCCCTTCTCTCTGTTTTGTTTTTTTGCCATAGCATCTCCCTCTATCACCCAGGCTGGAGTCGGTGGTGCAATCATGGCTCACTACAGCCTGTGCCTCCTAGGCTCAAGCGATCCTCCTTTCTCAGCCTCCTAAGTAGCTGGCACTACAGGTGTGCACCACTCTTTCAGCACCTCTTATAGCGTAAGTCTGCTTTTTATGTCTGAAAATTATTTCAGCCCTTGTACAACCGAAAGCGTTCTTATTTCCTCTTCTTTTTGGAAATATATTTCACTGGTAAAGAATCCCAGGTTGACAGGCTTTGGGGCATTTGTTATTTTGCTGTTTACTGTTCCACTATTTGCTCACTCAATCTGAGAAGAAATCAACCAGCAATCCACGTTTTTGTTCCTGGGCACGTATCTTTTTCTCTAGTTGTCGCTAAGGTTTTATCACTGATTAAAGCAATCTGATTATTGCCTTGGTGTAGTCTTTATGTTTCTTGCGCTGGAGGTTCATGAAGTTTCTTGAATCTTTGGGTGTCCAGTTGTCATCCTATTTGTCATTTTTCTGGATATAATTTCTTCACATATTTTTTTCTGCCCTCCTTCTCCTCTGGAGACTCCAGTTGTGTATATTAGCCGCTAAAGTTGTGCCATGGTTAACTGATGCTCTGTCTGTTTCTCAGGTTTTCTTTACAATGCATTAGGCAGGGCTTGAGAAGCGTTTATTCTAGAATTGATTTTTTTTTTTCCTCTGCTACTGAGCCAAAACCTAAATAATACCCTGTGAATTCTGAGGTTTTTCATCCGACTGTTGGGAACATACACTATTCCTGGCCCTGTGTGATTTCAGGCACAATTCCCTCTTCTCCTTTTGGGTGGTTCTTTCCCAGGCCTAGGGTAGTTTCCTCATCTGTATTCTCTGAGCAGAACTCAGGTGCATGTTTGGGGAGGGTTCTCTGCATAGCTCTGGGCTTTTCTCTGTGTATCTCTCAACTATGTCTTTGTACTCCGCAATGTGAACTCTACCTGCCTTGGCTTCCCTGGATTTCCAGCTCCATCTCCTCAAGGGGAATCTCCTGGTCCCACCTCAGTTTTCCTTCCCTGTGCTGTGGTCTGGAAATGCTCTCCAGGCAGTCAGCTGGGGAGATCACAGGGCTAACCTCATTTGTTTCCTAATTCTCAAGGATTAGCGTCCTTTATTGCCCGATGTCCAATGTCTAAGAGCTCTTGTTTCCTGTATTTGCTCCAGTTTTTTTAGCTGTTTCAACACTTAGGATAAACTTGGTCTCTGTTACTCCATCTTGACTGGGAGGCAAAATCAAATGCATGTATTTTCTAACAGCTTTATTGAGTCAAAATTCACACACTATCCAATTTGCCCATTTACAGTGTATGGTTCAAGGAGAGAAGTTCCTCACAAAACTAAAATAGAACTACCAAAGGATCCAGTAATTCTGCTACTGGGTGTATATGCAAAAAACAAAATGAAATCAATATATTGAAAAGACATCCATGTTTATTGCAGCATGATTCACAATAGCCAAAATACGAAATCAACCTAGATGCCCATCAACGGATGAATGGATAAAGAAAATGTGGTGCATATGCACAGTGGAATATTACTCAGCCATAGAAAGGAAATCCTGTTATTTGCAGCAACATGGATGGAATTGGAGGTCATTATGTTAAGTGAAATAAGCCAAGCACAGAAAGACAAATATTGCATGTTCTCACTCATCTGTGGGAGCTTAAAAGCTGGATCTTATGAAGACAGACAGTAGTCTAGTGGTTACCAGAGACTCCGAAGAGGAGGAGGGAGACGGGATGAAGAGAAGTTGATTAATGGGTACGAACATATAGTTTGAGGGAAGAAATAAAACCCAGTGTTTGTTAGGTGAGTAAGGTGGCTACAGTATACAATAATTTACTGCATATTTCAAAATAGCTAGAAGAGGAGAATTTGAACAGTTCTAACATAAAGAAAGACAAATACTTAAGTTGATGGATATCCCAAGTACACTGATTAGATCTTTACAAATTATATGAGTGTATTAAATTATCATGTGTACCTTGAAACTATGCACATTTATTAGGTGGGTGCAAAATTTGTTGCCTAATGGCAAAACCACAATTACTTTTGCACCCACCTAATAATATTATGTCGCAATTTTTAGACATGTATGGTTTCATTGTTTTTAGTATAGTTACAGATTTGTGCAACCCTCACCATAATCCCAGGATATTTTCATCAGCCCAAAGAGAAACCCCACACCACTGGTGGTCACCACCTCCTCTTCCCATCTGCCCTGGCAGTCATTCATCAACTCTCTGTCTCCACAGACTTGCCCATTTGGACATTTCATATAAATGGAATCATGCAGTATATGGTTCTTTAAGACTGGCTTCTTTCACTGAACATAACGCTCTGCAGGGTCATCATTACTGTAGGATTTATCAATACTACATTCCTTTTCGTGGACAAATAATATCCCATTGTATGGATATATAGATTTTCTTTATCCATTTTTCCGTTGATGGACATATGGATAGTTTTCACTTTTGGCTATTGTAATTAATGCTATATGAAGATTTGTGCACAAGTTTTTATGTGGACATATATTTTCATTTCTCTTAGGTATATAACAAGCAGTGGAATTTCTGGGTCATATAATAAGTTCATGTTAAACATTTTGAGGAACTCGCATTTCCACCAGTAGTGTCTAAGGGTTTCAATTTCTCTACATCTTTGCCAACACTTGCTACCATCTGTCTTATTGATTGCGGCCATCTGACTGAATCTGATGACCCAGGTATCTTACTGTGGCTTGGCTTCGCATTTCCATGACGGCTAATGATGCTGACCACATTTCCATGTGCTTTTTGGCTGTAGAAATGTCTATCTAAAACCTTTTTATCATTCTTCAAGCGGGTTGTCTTTTTATTGTTGAGTTGTATATTCTGCATACAGGTTCTTTATGCAGACATATGATTTGCAAATCTTTTATTCTATGGGTTGTCTTTTCACTTTTCTGATAGTGGGACTTGCACCAAAAAGCTTTTAGTTTTTATGAAGTCCAACTTATCTGCGTGCATTTTTTCAAGGAAGCTTCATGGCAATCCCTCAAGTGGAAAACCATTATCAATGACTTGTCATAGACAGAAGAGCATTGTAAAAATAAATCACAAATCTACTGAATAAAGAGAAGTCAAAGGTAACAGTAAATGTATTTATAAATAAAATCGCAAATGTGTCATCCACAGGCTGGCCGTCATTTTGCTGTGGTATGTGGGTCTCACTTCGGGAACGTCAGATCCTCCAACTTAGTCTTTGGGTATCTTTGCTCACCAGTTTCTTCATCAACAAAACAGACTACTGAAATAGACTGGTGAGCTTCAGACTTTTTTTTAAGCCATAGAAACCATTTTTTTCCTAGCCAATTTTCTTGTCTGAACCTTGGCTTATGAAACACATAAACTGAGAGCTGCCTGGCGAAATGGTGGGTTGAGCGGGAAGCCTGATGTTTCCCTCCACAACCTCCCTCTCCTGCCCTATGGCATCTCTGAGATTTCCAGAGCTCCACGGAATCCACTTTGAAAACCTGGGGATCTCAAACTGTTGTTCAGGGACACCGCTGGCTACATCAGAATCACCTGGAGGCTAATGAAAACTCCTAGCACCTGGACCTCGATGGCACCTGCTGAATCCCACTCCAGGGGTTGTTCCTGAGGCTGTTTCACCCCCGCCAGGTGATCTAAGTCAGGCACTGATAACGGGCCCTCCCTGCTCGATGGGCTGCGATCCCTGAATGGAAGAAACTGCTGAGGCCCGTTCTCATCCACCACAGTCACCTGCTGTCACTGGGACTAAGAACTGGTGAACTACCACAGAGATGCTGCTCTGTTTGCAGCCACCCAGCAGCTCCTGCCCTGGGGCCCCAGAGAGTTCTCCATGACACAGGAGCCTTCCTCCTCGTCCAGCCCTTGTTGTAACCCTGGGGCCAACCCCTCAGACTCCTCAGCTCACAGGCCCTCCCCTGCCCTGCCTCAGGCTGTGGGCTCACTCACCTCTTAAACCAGAGCCGCAGGCGGGGATGGCCCTGAGGCTTGAGAAACCTCCTCAGCTTTGGCCCCAGAAGCCGTTTCAGCAGTTGGTGGCCCAGGAAGACAAGGACCACACAGGTGAGGACAAACAGAGCCAGGGCCCGCTGGAAATCCAGGAGGCAGGCCACCAGCAGGAAGCCGGCGAAACCTGGGGGATGAGCAGAGGAGGGGTCAACGGGGAGGGCACCGCCTCTCCGGGCCCCTGAAGCCCCACCCACCGACTCCACCTTACTCCATCCAGAGCATGGAGGGCAGGAAAGTCACCCAACCTCACTGAGCCTCATCTGGAAATGAGAACAACAATCCCTACTGTGCTAAAAAGTAGTTAGGAGTTGCCAGGCAGAAGGCATGTGAAAGGGCTTTGCAAACTGCAAAGTGCTGACCAAATGGGAGGGAGATGCATAAGGAGGCCGTGAAGCCAAACAGTAAGAGTCGCTGGGTATCAGCAGAGCACCTGCTGTGGTCCAGCGCCATGCTAGGTCCCACAGAGGAAGGAGACGAGCACATCAGCTACTCCATGAAGGAGTTCACACATGTGTGCCGGGACCTGGATCTGAGATGCTCATCGGTGACCATGCTTCCTGGAATTCCCTTTCCCCTTTTGCCTTTCTCTCCTTTGAACCACTCAGCCAGTCTGCGCTTATGCCTCAGGAAAGACACGTGAGAATGAATAGCAGAGGAGGGATGTCTCTCCATCGACTTTTTCTTTTTCTTTTTCTTTTTTTGAGACAGGGTCTCACTCTGTCGCCCAGGCTGGAATGCAGTGGCACGATCTCGGCTCACTGCAACCTCCACCTCCTGGGTTCAAGGGATTCTCTTGCCTCAGCCTCCAGAGTAGCTGGGACTACAGGTGCCCACTACCATGCCCGGCTAATTTTTGTATTTTCGGTAGAGACAGGGTTTCGCCATGTTGCTCAGGCGGGTGTGGAACTCCTGGGCTCAAGCGATCCACCCACCTCAGCCTCACAAAGTGCTGGGATTACAGGCATGAGCCACAGCACCAGGCCTCTCCCTGGCTTTTGAATTTCAGAATCCAGCGTCCTAGAAGAATGGAAAGGACTCATAGCCATGGGTTTAAAATGTGATCTGAAAGATCACAAGCAAAGGTAAGTTCTACCCACCCCGTCTGCTGCCAGACGGTAACAAGGACACTGCCATCACAGAGAACGCGCCTGAGCCTGGCAAGGCTGCCAAAGCTGGGTGTGTTTGTGGTTCTACAAGCAGTGACAGCCTGTGCCTGGCTTCCTGGTGGAGCCCCAGAGAGGTCCTGGGACTGCAGATGAAGGAATGCCCATGTGGCACATGGCAGGCAGGGTCCTAGTAAGCCAGTGAGACTCTACAAGCACCTAAACAGCAAAAGTGGTCCCCACAAGAGGCCTGAGGAGGAGAGAGGCAGGAGGCCAGAATGAGCCCACCGTGGAGAAGAGGGCATCGCCAAGGCCACCCGCAAGGATAGAGCACCCAGGACCAGCTGGGGAAGCAGACAGGTCAGGAAGCACTGGGGGAGTGACCACAGATAAGCGCCCCCTGGTGACCCCCAGAAGAAGGGGAGAAGGGATTCCGACTTGACAGAAACTGAGTTCCCGTCACTCGCTGGAATGACAAGATCGAAGGAGGGTAAGCTGAGTTACAGAAAATAAAAGGACCATTCTCTCCCATGGAAGCTCGTGGGCTGGCATTCCTACCTGAGCAGGTGTCATTGAAACACACAGAAGGAGCTGGCAGAGTGGAGCTGGGGCTGCTGGTGCCAGCAGCAGGGCGGGGGAGATTCAGGGGAGGGGTACCTGACCTGGCCCCGGGGAGAGCCTGTGGTCGCCAGGAGCTGAGCTCAGCATTTCAGATGCACTTTCACAATGAATCCTCAGAACACCCCCGGGGGGGTTTCTACAGTGATATCCACGTGGAGAACGAGGCCTCTGAGGCCAGCCAAGCTGGGTGACTCCCACAGGGAGGGCCTGGGGCTAGGAGTCCAATAAGCTCTGTGTGCCTCAGGGTCTGTGCTTCCTGGTCGGGGTGGGCCAGGACCGGGACTCATGGAGAGAGGGCCATGTGGAGGAGTCCTCCAGGCAGGGCAAAGGGAGAGATGTGTTTTTGGAAGCATTTTCATAATCTGGGGTCCACTCACCCTCTGGTGCGAGGACTTTTCTGTTCCATTTTGACACAACTTTCCCCCTCCAAGCCCATGTAGTTCAGGGGTGCCTGACCTACATCAGGGGAGGGGAGACCACCAGGTCCCCATGGGCACAGGGATTGGTTCAGGGACAGGCAGGACCTGAGCTAAAGTCCCTGAAGATCTCACTGGGACTTTGGCTGGAACAGCCAGCACGAGGCACCCTCCTCTTCTAAGACTGGGGACACCAAGGCCATCCTTGTTAGTCCGATGGAGCCAGGGCTGTCGCTGCACCCCTGGAGAAGGCCTAAGGTTTGGAAGCCACTGTCACACCTCAGGAGCCAAGTCCTGAGAACATGAGCTTCATTTCTCTGCCACAACTACACCCACAACGCCTCTGAGAAGCCTCCCCAGGAAAGAGGTGATGTCCTCAAGACACTGAAAAGCCAGAGAAATCAAAGTCACCCAGAAACAGAGTCACTGCTGACCATTGCAAGGGATCATTTAATGGTTCAGATTGCACTCCCCACTGCCATGGCAAACGTGGAAACAGGATGAGAGGGGTCATTTTCATTCTCTATGGGAGAGAATTCAATGGTTCTTCAAGAGAAACAAATTGGTTCCGAGTGAAGGAGGCAGCCAAGGAAACAGACAGCCTGGCTTCAGACTCTGCCGAAGGTGGACGTCACGTCTCAGACACACTGTCTAGGAGGAAGCTGTGAGGGACATGGACCCACCCCATCTCAGCAGATGACCCTACTTCAAGTTCACCAAGCAGGCCGGGGTCATTGCTGTCGCCTCTCTCACTGCCAGTCCCCTCCAAAGCACCTATGATGAGCTCTCCATCTGTACCTATCCTCCTTTTTCTTTTATTCATTTATTTTTATTTAATTTTTTTTGTAGAGATGGGGGTCTTGCTGTGTTGCCCAGGCTGGTGTCAAACTCCTGGGCTCAAGCAAGGCCTCCCAAAGTGCTGGGATTGCAGGCATGAACCACCTGGCATGCCCGGCCCTCTTCAGTTCCAACCTGTCAGGATGAGGTGAGCTTGCCCTGCGAAGACCCACCCCTCCCCATGGGATGGGAGCTCTTCCAGTCCATGCCAGGGGACCTCACTGTACCGGCATCTCTTCATCTCCTGTTCCTTCTGCAACCTCCCCACCTCGGCTTGTACACACAAAGTCTTCCATCCCAAACTCATCACAGGCATCCTTGAGACTGGGCACACCCTGCCCATTCCTCCTCCCTGCCTCATCTCATAAAAATGGATTTAAAAAGCCTTTTATGCTTGCTGTCTGCACAGCCTCATCTCCCATTCGCTCCAATTCAGTTTCTGCACCTACACCCTAAGTCACCAGTGGCCTCCTTGTCCCTAAATCGAGGGACATGGCTCTGTTTTTGTCCTGCAGGTCTTGCAGAGATGCTGCCGATCTTTCCTTCCTTGAAACCCTTGCCCCTTTGGCTGCCGCCAGCCCCTTCCATGTGGCTGGTCTCCAGGATTCTGTCCTTGACCCACTTCTCAATTCATTCTCCAAGTGTGCCTGGGGAGCCTCCCCTCCCCCTCAGATGGCCTGGCAGTGGTACCTCCAGCAAACTGACCGAATTATTCCCCTTCCTGCCAAGACTCCCTCCTGCACGCGTGTTCTCTAGCTCTGTGGGAGGCACCATCATCCTCCCCCGACCCTGGCAGGCCCCTAGGGCAGCCCTGATTTGGGGTCTCCTTCGTGCTGCACACCCAGTGGTTCCCAAGAGCCGCGGGCATTGCTTTCCTAGGACCTCTCCCTTCACCCGCGGCCTTCCACCACCTCATTCTCACACTGGTGCCGCAGCCCTCAATGTCTACTTCCCTCCATCTTTTCTGCCCTCTGTCCAGGTCCCACAGTGCCAATTCCACCTGTTCAAACGCTTCAGTGGCTCTCTCTGGCCTTGAGGGTAAAATCCAAGTCTGTGAGCATCCTCCCATCTCCCTGCCCACTCCCCATCCTGGGCCCTTTCCTATCCCTCCAGCCCCATCCCCTGGCACTCCCTGTCTAGAACTTTACCCTGCAGACCTTACAGGGCAGACATGGGACTTTATTGAAACCCACACCCTGCCAGTTTCACCTTTGCTCCTGTGACTCCTCTGTATGGAGTGCCTTTGCCCTCCTTAGTGTCCTTCTCCTCCACCTGGCTAACTCCTACTCAGCCCGTGAGGCTTCAATGTCACCTCCTCCTGGAAGTCCTCCCTGACCATCCCCCATCCCTCCTTGGTGCTCCCAGATGACTTGGTGCATTATGTGGGAATATTTCTTCCCCTTCCCTTTCTGAGGAGGGAGTTCCTTGGGAACAAGATCTGGCCTGGCTTAACTGATGTCTCAGCACCCGGCAAGGGAGCTGGCCCTGAGCTGGTGCTCAACAACCATTTGTTGGGTGATTGAGTAAGTGAATGGCCCTGCCCTGAGACCTGAGTAGCTGAGGCAGGAATCATTGTGTCCTGGGTAGGGCCAGCCCCAGGCTCACCAGTGCAGAGCAGGCCTGTGCCGATCCATCGAAACAGCTGTGTGTGCTTCCTGCAGAAGCTTCGGGCTCTCAGGGCTGGCTGCAGCTTCCTCCTGGGAACAGGACCAGCAGGGTCTGTGAGTACATGAGCGGACCCCACCTGGGGGAGATCTTCAGCACCTCCACTCACTCAGAGGTGTCCCCGGTAAAGTGGTAGCAGGGACAAGCCAGGGCTTGCCTTGACATCCCCACAGGCTGCAGGGTAACCCCAGCCCAGGGCAAACATAGAAATGGTTCAGCCCTTCCTGCCTCTGTGGCAGCACAAACTGGAGCAGCACCCACGGGCCCCACTAGCCCAGTGATGATCCCCGCTCCAGGGCTCGGGAGGAAGTCTACTGAAAAGGCAGAACCTCACCACCATACGAAAATGTGGCGGCGAGCAAGGTGGCTCACACCTGTAATCCCAGCACTTTGGGAGGCCCAGGCAGGTGGATCACTTGAGCCCAGGAGTTCAAGACCAGCCTGGGCAACATGAAAAACCCCATCTCTACCAAAAATACAAAAATTAGCCAGGCATGGTGGTCTGCACCTATAATCCCAGCTACTCAAGAAGCTGAGGCAGGAGAATGGCTTGAGCCCGGGAGGTGGAGGTTGCAGTGAGCCAAGTGGTTGATTGGTCACTGCACTCCAGCCCAGGCAACAGAGTGAGAGTCTACCTCAAAAAAAAGAAAAGAAAAGAAAGAAAGAGAAAGAGAGGAAAGGGGAGTGCAGGGGAAGGGAAGGGAGGGGAGGGGAAGGGAGGGGAGGGAAGGAGAGAGGGACCGAGACAGACAGACACAGTTGGCTGCCTCGCCTCCTCTGTTGTTCATCCATCTGCCCATGGGACAAAGTGGAAAGGCTCCCAGCTCTGGGTTCATCCCCTCAGGACCCAGGACACTTAGCAAATGAGTCAGTGGCTCCCTCTCCAGAGAGAAGATGCTTGGAACAGCCTGCCCCTGCCCGGTGGTCACACACCCCCACTGCTTTTGGGGCCCAGCAAATTCTTGCCGGGTCATTTGGTCACGGTCTGTCTCTGGAGAAAAGGCTGGCACCTCAGTAGCCTCTGGGGTCTCACAGGCTGAGCATCTAGTAGATGCCCACTCAATGCTCATTGGAACCCACCAGGTGCCATTTTAAGGAGCCTCTCACCTTCTCTCAGTCCCCACCTCCCACCTCCTGAGAGGATGGGGGAGGGATTCTTCCCATGCCCCGTGCCCAGGCAGAGATGGAATCCCTCCCCCGTCCCCCCTCGGCCCTTCATGCTGTCCTCAGCTCCAGATCTGGCCAGCAAGGACCCAGGGGCCCAGGCAACAGCAGGCGGAGTTCTAGGCTCACCTCAGCCACCCATTGCCTACGCCACCCGGCTGGTCCCTTCCCCTCTCTGGGCTTCCACCTCCCCATGGAAAATCAGATTTTTTTTTTTAAGACAGGATTTCACCATATTGGTCAGGCTAGTCTTGAACTCCTGACCTCAGGTGATCTGCCTGCCTCAGCCTCCCAAAGTGCTGGGATTACAGGCATGAGCCGCCACGCGCCCGGCTAAAATCAGAATTTTTAACCTGAGTCTTGGGACTCCCAGAGGTACCCCAGAGACTGAATGGGGGCAGAAGGCAGAAGCTGGAGGTTGAGAGGGAGGCCTGGGTGGTTCAGGGCAGGCCCACGATATATACTGGGGTTCCGGATGGGATTTCATTCCAGCTACTCAAAAGCAGGTGGGGAGCCTGTGACTTGGCTCACCTTTTAGGCTCATGTGTCTGTGCATGTCGGCTAAAGCTCCTTTATTCCTTCCTTCAGCAAAGGTTCACATGCCCCTACCCCCCTCCTCCAGTACACCCAGGTCCCCATCCTGTTCCCAAGCAGCCTCCACCCCAGGCCCGCCCTTGTCCCTCCAGAGGTCACCTACCATCTGGAGAAGGTCTTTGGCCCCGCCTCGCTCCGGCTGCCTCTCATCTCCGAGTTGCTTCTAGGGAGCTGGCCTTCCTCCTACAGCCAGCAGAGAGCTGTCAGGTCAGCCTGTCCCTTACCCACCCGCAGGAACTTACAGCTGGGGGACCTTGGTGAGACCCTGGCTGGGGAGGGGCCTGGGCTGGAGCACAGGGAGGAGTAAGAAGACTACTTAACTGAACTCTGCGAGGCAGGCCCTGAGCAGCTGCTGTGTGCAGGGCTGTGCCGGACACATCCTGCCCTCAGCGAGCTCATGATCTGCAGAGGGACGGACACCTGTGACCCAGCTGTGGCTGGTGGGGCCTGAGAGGAGGCCTGTAAGGGAGGTCCCAGGCAGGGCACCTCATCGCACAGCCCCAGGGAGATGCACCCCCCAGTCTGTGGAGGTGTTTTGGGTGGGGGGTGGGTATTCTTGCAGATGATAGCATGAAAGGAGAGCCCCAAGGGACAAGGGCAGTGAAGGGGAGGGGGCTTTGTCAGAGGAGGCTGGGAGGGTGTCCTACGAGGCTCAGGTTCTGGGTGGTGGCCTCGACCTGACCTGGCCACCTGAAAGCAAGGACAAGACCTCGGGCTCCTCGAAGGCTGAACTTCCTCAGAGACCCCCTCCCCCGTCATCTGGTTTTGATCCTCACTCTGTAGGTCACACCTCCAATGCCACTTCCTCATTGGGGCCTGCCCTGCCCTTTCAGACTACAGTGCACACAGTACGTGCTCAGTCAATGTTTAATGAGTGAAATAAAGGGGGCTGAGGAGGCGGGCGTATTGGGAAGTTCCTACCTGTACAAGCAAAGAGGTGAGCAGGGGACAGAAGAATGGGGTGTGAGGGAAGAGGGTGAGCAAAAGCCCCCCCCACCTCGGCAGCCGGGCTCAAGCCGAAGAGGCTCAGGGTGGGGATGGGCAATGGGGAGGGCACAGACCAGGCTTTCCAAGAACTCAGCTCCCATGTTCTCCAGCCCCTGGGCCACAGGTGTGAGAGAGATGGACTCTCTTCGTCTTGAGGGGTAGTTCTCCATGGGCCAGACCTTCCAACTGAAAGACAAACCAGGGAAGGCCCAATGCAGAAAGGGAGGCCAGGCAGGGCCCAGGTTAGGGGCCTGGGGAAGGGGGAGAGGGCTGGGGGGGAGCAGATGCTTGGCACAGTCAGAGCCCTGCCTGGGGCCACCTATGCCATCCCAGAGCTCACCCCTCCTTGTGCCCGGGACTGCAGCTTTGGCTCCCTGGGACATGGAGGAGGGACCCCTTCCTTTGTGTAGAGACTGGGTCTCCCTATGTTGCCCAGGCTGGTCTCGAACTCCTGGGCCCAAGCAATCTTCCCACCTCGGCCTCCCAAAGTGTTGGGCTTACAGGCATGAACCCCCACCCCAGCCTGCACCCTCATCTGAACCTGTGAGAGGCAAGTCCTTGTGAACTCTGGGAGTTCCAGGCAAAAACAGCAAATTTTGCTCACTTTGTAGGGAAGGAGAGTAAGGAATTGTATACAGCAGACATATATACCTGATACAGACACTTTTCTTAAGAGAGGCCCTAGCTTTCATCACTCCCTACAACAGCTTCAAACTATTACATTAAGCGAGACCTTTATTGTATTCCAATTTTCCATCTCTGAGGGTTGGAAATTTGACATCCTTAAAGACATCCTTCCAGTCCCTGGATCCAGCTATACCTGAAACTAGCTCTACCCCTGGACTTTTCCATTGCAAGCTGAGCTTTTTTGCTGAAGCTCAGCTCATAGGTTTAAGCTCATATGTAAATAGGAGTGCTAACTAACACCTTCTCTCTCCCCACTCTCGTTCCCGCTCCTTTTTCTCCCCTTGGGGAGTGCCCTACTCTATCCAAATGCCAGCCCAGTTAGGCTGACATACTCAGAGGCCTGTGCATGTGTGCGCACACACACAGACAGAGGCTGGAAATGCCCCGCTCACCCACAGACACACAGCGGCGCACACAGAGGCAGCGCCCTATTTCTACTCACGTATTCGTGGTTAACAGGTCGCTCTCAGAGACAGAGGGAAGCACACGTCTCTGTGGGGACAAGCTGGGTCCAACCTGCTTTTGCTCTGACCTGCCTTGTCACTTCCGCAGAAAACCCTGGGCAGAGTCCAGGGTCTGAGTAGGTTGGGCCTGCCACCCAGTTCTGGCCAGCACCTCCCCAGAGGCCAGGGCCACAGCCAGGGTGGGGACCCCAACCCAGCCTCAGGGTTACAGGAGGCAGGCCCACTTGCAGGCTGGCTCCCTGCAGCTCCTGCCCACTGGCTGCTGCTTCTCCATCAGAGATGCCCTCCCCTGCACTCTCCCAGTTCCCAAACCGACCTCTTCCAGGCCTGCTTGGGCACCTCTTCCAGGAAGCCACCTCTGTATTCCTTCCCTCCCCCTCCTTCCCTCCCATGGCCTCCTCTCCCCAGCCAGGCTGTCAGCTTTCTGCATTTATCTTTCATTTTACATCTTGCTCTGTCTCCCTTTCTCACTGGATCAGGATTTATCATAACAGCAATCGATTTTCCTAAGCTGGAAAATGAGGAAAGCAGTGGAGCTGTCAGTAGTAGTAAAAGTATTTCAGGTATGTCAAGAAAACAATACAAATCACACCATTTCCCCTTCGTTTCCTCTTTTTTAAACGAGTACCTTAGCCGACAGTGTGCAAAGTGAAGGACTGAACGCGTTAGCTTTTCAATCTTCAAAGTAAACATTAAACTCATCTGATGGGACTGACAGCCTCTCTTTAATAATTAATGGTATGCGCTCAGGACAAAATCCTTTATGCTGCATAAATACTTCCTGGTCATGGCACATCCCGGTTGTTTTGGAAGTTTGGAGAGGATGGTGGATGGATACCCACTGTCTTTGAAAACATTTTTGCTTCATCTGTCATTTGAATTGCCAAAGCATTATAAGAGTATCGTTAAACATTTAAACATTAGAGAAATACACAGGATGAGGGAAGTTAAAATCCCCGGAGTCTGGGCCCCCAGGGACGACCATGGTTGAGTTTGTGGCAGTTTTTTCCACTTTGTTTCCTAAATGTAATTATTTTATGTTATTCATTTTCCAACAGGTGATCACATAATAACTGTTCTCATAATGTGATTTTTCTAGCAGAGTTCCACACCCTATTGAGAGCCCCTGTGTTACCCTGATTGAAAACTAGTGACGGATCAAGACTCTACCTTAAAAAAAAAAAAGATGGGGGGCGAGGCACAGTCCTTCATGCCTGTAATCTCAGCACTTTGGGAGGCCAAGGCAGGTGGATCACTTGAGGCCAGGAGTTTGAGACCAGCCTGGCCTACATGGCAAAACCCTGTCTCTACAAAAAATACAAAAATTAGCCAGGTGTGGTGGCAGGCGCTTGTAGTCCCAGCTACTCAGGAGGCTGAGGCAGGAGAATCACTTGAACTCAGGAGGTGGAGGTTTCAGTGAGCCAAGATTGCACCACTGCACTCCAGCCTGGGCGACAGAGTGAGACTCTACCTCGAAAGAAAAAAAAAAAGAAAGAAAGAGGAAAGAAGAAAAAGAAAGAAAGAAAGAAAGAAGGAAGGAAGGAAGGAAGGAAGGAAGGAAGGAAGGAAGGAAGGAAGGAAGGAAGGAAGGGAAAGAAAGAAAGGAAGGAAAGAAGGAAGGAAGGAAGGAAGGAAGGAAGGAAGGACGGAAGGAAGGAAGGAAGGGAAAGAAGGAAGGAAGGAAGGAAGGAAGGAAGGAAGGAAGGAAGGAAGGAGAAAGAAAGAAGGAAGGAAAGAGAGAGAGGGAGGGAGGGAAGAAGGAGAAGAAAAGAAAAGAAAACTAAATGTTTTCTCTGAGCAGGTTCCATCTCCGTCTCCACGGGCGGCCACCACAGGAATGGGCACGGAGCTGTCCTCGAAGGGTCTTCACCAAGCCCCAGTGAAGGGAAAATGGATGCTACCTGCTTCTCCTCTCTGCCCTGTGCTACCTCCTTCCCCTCCCTCCTGTCTCCAGTCCCGCCTCCCTCCTCTCCAGCCGTCCTTTCCTCTCACCCTTGGTTCTGTCAGCGACCAGAGGGACGCCAGGAGCTCAACACATCCAGCAGCAGCCATGCTTGCAGCTTCGAGCCTTCACGTGGCTGTGGGCTCAACTCTCTGCAGCAAGGATTTAATGCGCTGTGTGTCTTGGGATGGACCTTGAGCTTGGAGCCCAAAGGTCTCCATTTCTGACTGTCAAAGTTAACTTGCGGCCTCCTCTGGGGGTGGGTAATGGAACCTATGAGGAGTCAATGTGCTCCTGCTTGGGAAGTGCCTGGCAGGGAGTCTGGCAATATCAGGCTGGCAGGTGTTATCTCTGCCATGTGTCCCATCTCCCATGGGGGCTGTCCTAACACACTGCTCCCTCCTCCAGGCCAGGAGACCCCGGGCTTCTCCCTTGCCCCTCCCCTCAAGGAGGCATGGCCATCAGGGATCCCAGCCCCCATAAGCCAAGTGCTCTTTTCAAGTGGAATTTGGCAAAAAACACAGGCTGGGGAGTTGGGAAGCTGGATAGATTGGGGTGGAGACCCCAGGGAAAAACCAACAGCTGGAGGACCTCAGGTGTCCCGGCTGTGCCCATCCAGCTGTGGGACCTCAGCACGTCCTTGGGCTCCTGGGTGGCCTGTTTCCTAAGGAGACAGTCTCTGAGGCTCAGCACACTCACTGGGACTCAATCAGTGAGACCAGGGCTGAGCAGGGCCAGGGCAGAGTGGGTAGAGGACGGCATAAATATGCATAGATAATTTGCATATTTAGTTCTGAGCTCTCGAAATCCCGAAGAGCTCAGAACTAAAACCAGAAAAGTTTTTAGAAGGATTATTGGTCAAAGAGTTGGCAAGAATCCCTTCTTGCCAGGCTCTCACATAATAGGTTATTTTAGTTTATTTTTGAGATGGAGTTTCACTCGTTGCCCAGGTTGGAATGCAATGGCATGATCTCGGCTCACCTCGACCTCCGCCTCCTGGTTCAAGCGATTCTCCTGCCTCAGCCTCCCAAGTAGCTGGGATTACAGGCATGTATCATCACACCCAGCTAATTTTGTATTTTCAGTAGAGACAGGATTTCACCATGTTGGTCATGCTGGTTTCAAACTCTCAACCTCAGGTGATCCACCCACCTCAGCCTCCCAAAGTGCTGGGATTACAGGCGTGAGCCACCGCACTGGGCCCATGATAGGTTATTTTATAAGTAGTGAGTGAAATGCTCAAAAGCACAAGAGCTATCAGAAGGCTTACTCAGCCCTCTATTTTTTTCTCACGATTCTGGCCACACTCATTTCTTGGCTCTTCACAGGCAAAGTCGCTCGTTGCATTGATTCGCATATCCAAGCACTAGAGAAATAAAGAGACTCATTCCTCATCAATTTCCCTGAACATAACTTCATCATTCTTCTCTCCTAAACCTGGGATGACTGGCAGAAAGGGCATCCATACAACTTTTTCTTCTGCATTTGTCATTGAAAAATGGACTTCTTGTAGTCAATGGTAGAAATAGTTGGAAGTAGCAATAATCCTAGCACTTTGGGAGACCAAGACAGGTAGACCACTTGCACCCAGGAATTCAAGACCAGCCTGGGCAACATAGGGAGACCCTGTCTCTCCAAAAAAACAGAAAAAATTAGCCAGGTGTGGTTGTGTGCACCTGTAATCCCAGCCTCTCGGGAGGCTAAGGTGGGGGGATCATTTAAGCCTGGGAAGTCAAGGCTGCAGTGAGCCATGATCATGCCACTGCACTCCAGCCTGGGCAACAGGAGCGAGACCCTGTTTCCAAAACAAGAAACAAAAAAAAAATTTGATGGCATAGAGCTACATACAAAGGCTAAAGAAATACCTTGTGCTTTGATACTCTTTACTTGCAACTATTCTAGTATTCCTGTGGGAACAGACTAGTCCAAGTGTCAGAGCACGGTGCTCTCCTGGCATCTACAGAGTCAGTCCAGCTGGTCCCAGGGGAAGAGAGCATTCCAGCACCCCAAAGCCTGGTAACCCCCAGCCTGCTTGGCACGATTATCCAAATGTCTCCAATACAGTGCCCCCCTTGACCTCCTTCACTCACTGGGAACATCTGGGCACACATGGTCATTATCCAATACAAAATGACAGGCTGAGTCTGGGGCTTGTCTATCTCAGCCACAAGAAGCCTGGTAGAATTAGGATGCCTGCTTCCACCTGCAAGAGTGCTCACGGCCACCAGGCAGGGTGAATTTTTACCCAAGCAGTTCAGAGACCACTGTTCCCAAACCTTTAATATTTAATTGGTTGTCATAAAGTGTATGTCCCTTGTGGTTTACCTTCTTTCTTTTCTTTTTTGAGACCGAGTCTTGCTCTGTCCCAGGCTAGAGTGCAATGGCACCATCTCGGCTCACGGCAACCTCCATCTCCTGGGTTTAAGCAATTCCCTTGCCTCAGCCTCCTGAGTAGCTGGAACCACAGGCGTGTGCCACCACGCCCAGCTAATTTTTTGTATTTTTAGTAGAGACGGGGTTTCACTGTGTTAGCCAGGATGGTCTCAATCTCCAGACCTCGTGATCCACCCGCCTCAGCCTCCCAAAGTGCTGGGATTACAGGCGTAAGCCACCAGGTCCGGCCTGCTGTTTACCTTCTATTCCTCTTGCTTTGCCAGCTCGTATGAGCTTTTTAAATTTATTTATTTATTTATTTTGGAGACAGAGTCTCACTCTGTCTCCCTGGCTGGTGTGCAGTGGCACAATCTCAGCTCACTATAGCCTCGACCTCCCAGCAATCGTCCCACCTCAGCCTCCAGATGTTGGGAGGCTGGGACTACCTGTGTGCACCACCACACTGGCTAATTTTTTTTCTTTTTTTAAAAATTTCATCCCAGTTCTAATATTTATTTATTTACTTATTTTGTAGAGACAGAGTCTTACCATGTTGCCCAGGTCTAGAACTCCTGGGCTTGAGTGATCCTCCCGCCTCTGTCTCCCAAAGTGCTGGGATTACAGGCGTAAGCCACTATGCCCAGCCTCACATCAGCTTTTCATATAGTGAGAGATTGAGATAGTTCCTTTTCATTTTGACCCAGATCAAGATGTTCTGCAAACCAAGGGAGGTCTTAATTCACGTTATGCTGTTGGGTTCAGAGATGATGTCCTCGTCTACTATAGTTTTATACTAAAGGCTATATCTTCTTTTTTTTTTTTTTGACACGAAACCTTGCTCCATCGCCCAGGCTGCAGTGCAGTGACGTGACCTCGGCTCACTGTAACCTCTACCTCCTGGGTTCAAGATTCTCTGCCTCAGCCTCCTGAGTAGCTGGGACTATAGGTGCATGCCACCACATCTGGCTAATTTTTGTATTTTTAGTAGAGATGGGGTTTCACCATGTTGGTCAGGCTGGTCTCGAACTCCTGATCTCGTGATTAACCCATCGGCCTCCCAAAGTGCTGGGATCACAGGCGTGAACCACTGCACCCAACCATCTTCTAAAGTACACTGTTTTCCTCCAGCCATTGGCAGGGGCTGTGGGGACTATGAATTTGGGTCTCCATCGCCTTATTGGTCAGGTTACAGTGGATAAGCTGGTTCACTACACAGGCAACAATGATTCCTTGATTGTTCCACCTTCTCCCCCTGTCAGAGAAACGGTCTGATGTGGCCCTCACTGAGCCTTCGGGCGAAGCCAGGTATTTTTACAGAAGTAGTCATTAAGAGGACTTAAGGCCTCCTGGGAGGAGCCAGGAAAATGAATCTACCGAAGACCAGCAGTGTACCCATGGAAGGTGCCGACAGGTAGGATGCCACAAACTAAACACAATTGTTAGGTAAACAAAGACGGACACCTGTGAATGTCACATCTTGAGTTCGGACATTGAAACTTTTCAAGCATATCTCGCCCCCACCCCCCAGGTGGAATTGCACTGATAGTGTCCGGCCACGGAGTCTAAGGCGTGGCTGCGTCTCTCACTCTACTCTCACTGGTTCCCTCTGTTCTTCCTGGATGGGCCTGCCAATCAGATACCGTGACTCACTTGGAAACACTCCTTTCCATTTCACTACACCTGTAGAAGCAAGTTTCCTGGTTCCAAGGCCTGTGTCCAGCTCCCTCAGTTCTGTGGCCGTGGGGCCTGACCCATCACTGAAGCTCAATACTGGACAGCTCATGGGCTGGGAGGCTCAGCTGTAGTATTTCCTGTTGGTTCCCACCAGTCTCCTTCCCCAGGGCAGTGAGGGTCCCCACAGGGATGAGAGCTGGAAAGGCAGTACTCAGGGGCATGGCCAGAGAGACCTTTGTTAGTCACCCTACCCTTAGGAAATGGAGAGGCACCGCTCCAGGGTTGGAGGGGACAGCAGTGTGTGAGGGGCCCTGAGATGGATCCTGTAGTTCCAGGAGACGGTGACAACAATGGTTCCAGCAGGTACACT